GTACCTACGCATGCACACATCACATGTACACACACACACACACACACACACACACACACACACACACACACACGATCTTGGAGGCCTGTCCTGGGATGTAGCTCAACGGTAGAGCACTTGCCTATCCTACAAGAAGCCCTAGGTTCAATTTCCCTTTGCCAAGAAAAAGAAGCAAACACGGGTGAGCTGCTCTGAGAGCACGAGCATTGGAGATCTGGCCGTACCCCTCATCTGCCGTACAGTGGTGTGGATGGGGGAGAGATGCCCTCCCTCACCCCGCTCCTCACCGTCTGCGGCAAGAGGGAGGGCTGGCCCTGCCCTCACCAGCTGCAGTACTCTGAAGAGTGGCCCTTGAGCCTTGCTTGGGCAACTAGCCTAGTGGTGTAGGTGAGGATGAGATGACTTTGAGAATGAAAACAGGACAACTGATGGGGAAGTCCTGTGTATATGTCAATAAAGCACCGTTGGCCAATAGGGAAGCAAGATTGGTGGGACTAGGAGTCCAGGAGGACTCTGGAAAGGAGAAACACAGAGAGTCAAGATGTAACCGCCATAGGGGTGAGAAGCCCAGAAAGTTTTCTCCAGTAAGAGAAATACTTAGATTGGCAGTTATGGGGTAAATACTTAAGTCAGAGATAGCCAGTAAGAAACAAGCAAGGCCAACAGCTTCATAATTAATACAATGTCTTGTGTGTTATTTGGGGACTACAACTTGGCAGAGCCCAGGCGACTGGTGGGGAAAAACCAAAGCAGCTGGCAAGGAAAAGGCTTCACTCAACAGGCAACCACACCAGAAGCTTGCTCCTTGCTGCAGAGGGAGAACTAGCCAGGGCAGCGCTGGAGAGCTCACTGTGGTGGCGAGGAAGAGGGAGAGATGGCAGGCTGACCAACCCTGCAACCACCCAGGCCCAGAACCAGGGCTACGAGTTGGCCCATCCAACATCAACGCCATCTGTGATCTGCTGAAGCACGGACTGGTCCAGCAGATCCAAAGCTGCAGAACCTCCATGACGCAGGACAACAACAGGATGTCCAAGAGGAGTCCCAGCATCAGCAGTGTAGCAGAAACCGGAGGCCTGGAGCTGACGAATGGATCATTGCAGCAAACACTTGCAAGTAAAGATGTATGGACTTACTTGTGACTCACTGTGCACACTGCGGCGTCCATGACGAGTTTTTACTCTTTCCTATTAAATTTTATTATCTATGGGGGAGGTCGTAAGGGCAGAGAGTAGATACAAAGGGGAGGAGGGGATGAACAGGATCAGGATGCAAGATGTGAGAGACACAAGAATAAATAAAAAGCTTTTAAAAAGAAGGAAATATTTTTTTGGGGGGAAGAAATATGTTCAATGTGCGGCACATGCTTTGATAACAAGATGATTTTTTAAAAGATCTTAGAAAATCGAGAATCACAGGTGTTTGCAATTAATTACCTGCTGCTGCTGGTTATTGAGTTTGTCTGAATACCAACCGCCCTCCCCCCAGCGATCGGCTTCCTCTCCCCCTTGCTCACTGCTGATGGGTTTCATTTTTCATGCCATGATTTTAGGGTCAGTAACCCTGGAAAGTAGAATCAAAGACATATGGAAATAAATGCACTCCACCGCAGTCCAAGCAGCTTAAGCTTGGATTCTGATGACAGCTGGGAGAAAACGAAACCTTACTGACCAGAAGGCCCAGATCTTCAGGAGTGTCTCTTCAGGGGTCAAGGATTCATTGCTTGTGGAAGGAGGTACGGTAGGCATCAGAAGGGTTGGATACCCAGGTGGCTGGCAGGAGCCCCAGAGAGCGTGGAAAGGATTCTCTTTTCCTCATGTGGGGCCTCTCAGGAACACCAACATTCCGTCATTAGCAGTCACCCAGAGCCAGCGATTGAGCCTCCCAGGAGCAACGGACATGGTTTCTGAAGCAATGGACTTTGCCCTGAGGAAATTGCTCTGTTGCAGACCCAAGATTTAGGACCCACCGCCAGCTTGGTCTTAACTCTTGCTGCTGAGTAGAAGCCTTATCTCGGACACTGGGTCCTGTCGGCTGTGGACAAGGATACACTGGAGGTTGGAGGTTCCCGCCCAGACAGTTAACAGCTGCTTTCCTTTGCTCCCAGGATGGCCAGTGTAAGCCACGCCTGTGAGGAACCTGGGAGCCAGATCCTACCCTCAGCATGGCATCCCATCATACTCTGCCCAGGATCCACCTGGTATCTTAGGGCAAGAAACTGGCAAGCTCATACCTCTCTCCCCTCTGTCCCCAATTCACAGAGAAACAGACAGGCTTCAAACATTCGATGTCTTTCCCTATAACAGGCCGGGAGATGAACTCACACCCTTCCCAATGACTCTCTCCATTTCTCCCAAATGTCATCTTGGACCCCTCATTCCAGGAGCTAAATTCCCTTTTTTTTTCCCTCTCATCTTCCTGGAGGGGAAGTTTGAGTGGAGTTATTCCAAACCCTCACCTATCGAATTTGACTGAGTTCCTACTAAATTCGAGGTCTTAGGCTGAGTATGTACGCTCACGGCATCCACACAACATCAATCTGAGAGGGCAGGTGATGTCCTCGTTGTGAAACTGAGGAAACTACAGCACTCTCTGGCTTGCCCAAGGCGAGAGATCGGTGAACTTTACGAGGAAGGAAGTGTTCCAGTCAAGACTTCGCAATTGACTCTAAGAGGGGAGAAACCGCCTCTACAGTCTATGGGTTTCCTGGGTTAGCTTCTGAGTTGGGCCTGAGCTTAGTTAGGGTTGGGTGTGAGCTAAGGCTGCTTAAGGGTTCGCATCTGAAGGAGGAGAAGCATCAATTGGTGTCCTTTCCTTCCTCTTACGGGCAGTCAGGGCTTCTCAGATCTTAGTCACTGAAGACTCAGTGCCTCTAAGATAAATGAGAAACCTCAAGTGCAGATTTCCTGGCGCACACTGAGGCTCAGAAAGTGCTAGAACCTGTGTTCCTAGCCATGAGGAGACGCTGGTGGATTGAAAGAGGAAGCTTTGAGAATCCTAGCAAGTCTACGTATCAGATGAATGTGAGGGGTCAGACTTTTCCCGAGTTGAAAGCCATGGAAGCTTGGAGGCTGGCCCTTTAAGGCTAGTGTTGGACGGGCCTGGGGAAAGGCTGGGCTGGCTGTCTTACCTGGGCTGGCTGTGGCCTTCCAAAAGCCATGGTGTCCCTGGGATATGCCAGGCAGTGAGGAGCTGATACCGTCTAGTCTTCCTGCCCTGATCCGTGCAGAGAGAAGGTCAGTATTTAGATCTTTTCATAAACATTAGTTTACTTTGTCTAAGGTTTTCCTGTAAAATGGATTGATCAAGTGTTAACTACCATTGTTACTATGATAATCATATGGAATCTAAATTCTTGTGTGTTTGTGTGTGCGTGTGCACACGTGTGGAGGTCACTGGAGAGACTGCTCTACACCTTAGTTTTGAGACAAGGTATTTCACTGATTCAACTGGACTGACGACTGACCTGCTAGCCCCAGGGATCCTCTTGTCTGCCTCTCTCTTGTGTTGGGATTGTAGCACACATCACCATGCCCGTCTCAGGGGTCCTCTCTCTCTGTCTCTGTCTCTGTCTCTGCCTCTGCGTCTCTGTCTCTGTCTCTGTCTCTGTCTCTCTCTCTCTCTCTCTCTCTCTCTCTCTCTCTCTCTCTCTCTCTCTCTCTCCTGTCTCATGTTGGGATTACAGGCACACATCACTAAGTTCATCTTTTAAAATGTGTTCTGAGCCGGGCGTTGGTGGCGCACACCTTTAATCCCAGCACGCGGGAGGCAGGTGGATCTCTGTGAGTTCGAGGCCAGCCTGGTCTACAGAGTGAGTTCCAGGACAGCCTCCAAAGCCACAGAGAAACCTTGTCTCGAAAAAACAAAAAAAAATGTGTTCTGAAGCACAGGTCTTTATGCTTGCATAATTAGTATTTTGTCTCCCGGGCTCTAAGACTAATATTGATGGAATGTCTCTTTGTGCAGACTTTGTATGGAGGACTTGATTTATATGGTTTCCTGCAATCCCCCCACATGTGGTTTCCTGCAATCCCCCTACACATGTTCTCCTGCAATCCCCCCACACATGGCCTCCTGCAATCCCCACACACATGTTCTCCTGCAATCCCCCCACACATGGCCTCCTGCAATCCCCCCACATGTGGTTTCCTGCAATCCCTACACACATGGCCTCCTGCAATCCCCACACATGTTCTCCTGCAATCCCCACACACATGTTCTCCTGCAATCCCCACACATGTTCTCCTGCAATCCCCACACACATGTTCTCCTGCAATCCCCACACATGTTCTCCTGCAAACCCCACACACATGTTCTCCTGCAATCCCCACACACATGTTCTCCTGCAATCCCCACACACATGTTCTCCTGCAATCCCCACACATGTTCTCCTGCAATCCCCACACACATGTTCTCCTGCAATCCCCACACACATGGCCTCCTGCAATCCCCACACATGTTCTCCAGCAATCCCCACACATGTTCTCCTGCAATCCCTACACACATGTTCTCCTGCAATCCCCACACACATGTTCTCCTGCAATCCCCACACACGTGGCCTCCTGCAATCCCCACACACATGGCCTCCTGCAATCCCCACACACATGGCCTCCTGCAATCTCCACCACACCACTCTGGAGAAGACCTGCACCATTTAGATCCAAGGCACACAAATAACACGAAGCACATTTAGAATTGTAGCACAGGCTTTCTTACTATGTGAGTGAACCCCGCGCTTTCACAGAGGGTCATTAATTTGTCTAGTGACATGAAGGCTGTCGGTGATACTGTTGGATCAGCATCCAGGGACTTTTTTGACTCTCCACTTCTGCCTGTTTTCTGAGAGACTCAGAAAGGGCCTGCTTCTGTTAATTAACGGCACTGAACAGAGAGCGAGCTGTGGTCTCTGGGGGACTCTTCACTCTCTTATAAGTTCTGGGCATGAGTGGTCAGAAGGCTGAGCCTACCAGAGTTGTATAGTGACACATTACTAGATTCTAGCCATGGCTTCCAGGACGCACTCTGAGGTCCCACTGAAGTCTCGGTTCTGTGTTGGAGCTGAAAGCCGTACTGATCACCCACGTCTGGTTTTGATGTTCTTTGCCATTGTGTTACTGGCTTGTCTTGAAGCTGCCAAGCTCACTGTGGGACTCCATGCTCCCTGGAACATTTCTCATCCATTTAGTGCTCAAAGGCTGGGGGCAGGCCTCCAGATTGCTATGGACAAGCTCAACTCAGAGCCAGTGGGCCTTGGGAACCTGAGCTGGGAGTTCACGTACACCCACTCAGCATGCAGCACCAAGGAGTCCCTGGCAGTTTTCATCAACCAGGTTCAGAGAGAACACATTTCTGCTCTGTTTGGACCAGCATGCCCAGAAGCAGCAGAGGTAGAGTATGGAGAATTCTAAAAATGTTGTCTGGGTTTCTACTGAAAAGGGGTGTGTGCATATACAGTTGAAGATACTAATTTCATTCATTTCTTCTTATTGATTTTTTTACATTTTTGATAAAAGGTTAATTGTATATATTCATTGTACATGGTGCGGCATTATATAAGGACATTTTCAGATAAGTGTATATTACTAGTCTCATTAGTCTGGGGAAATCTTACCGCAATTGTCTAAGTCTTCGTTTTGAGATCATGTAACTAGAGAGTTAAAAGTCTTTAAAGACTTTCGAGGAAAAAGGATTAGTTCATGAGCCCCATTTCTCCTGCTTGTTTGACTTTGGCATTGTATGGAGACTCATTCACTACTCTCCTATGCTGTCAGCCACAGGGTTTGAAGACTTTGAGATTGACAACAATGCTTGTTCTCAAATATAACAGTATCAATTGTTAAAGGAGGCTTCCTTTGGTGTGTATAGTAAATTATTCAGGAATGCTGACAGTCCACTGGAGGGAATGCAGTGTGGCAGCTTGCTTTAAGCTACAGCAAATGAGGGAGACTTGCTATTTGTGGTTAATGGGATTTGCTTAGTCAATGTCCTTGGGCACCACATCGTCTGAGAGAGGATGGGGAAGGTGACTAAGGAGGAACATTGCAGATCTCACTCTCCTAATGTTGCTGAATCCTCTGGAATTGTTGCTATAAAATTTAGTTGACCTTTGAATTTGAGATGGCCATCTCCCTGCATTTGACACCTCTCTGGCTCTTCAAATGCTACTCTTCCTTCAAGGTTGGTTTCAAGTGTTGATGAGGCAGCTTCCATCCTCTGCTTCCATCTGACCTGTCCATAATTCCTCGGTTGGAAGTAATTTATCATTAACTTGTAAGTGGGTGTATCTCCACGTACATGTATTTGTCTCCTTTTTTTTGTAGAAAGTCTGAAAAACAGACTAGAAAATACTCTTTATTTTTCCCCCCAGGCATTGAATTCTATTATTTAAGCTCATTTATAAATTTTGTTTTATAAGCTTTATCATGGTGAGATTGAAAACCCATTTGCATTTGTAATATTTCTTCCAAATTAAATGTTTTGGAAGTTAAAAAAAAAGACACACTTGGTTGCTTTCCTAAATGCCTATGTATACGTGTATAAATTCTATAGGACATATTGCTTTCTAGGCCTATTTTTGTATATCTGAGCTCCCATAAGGGGTCATAAACTTCCTTAAGACAAAGGCCCTCAAAATTCTTTGCAAAATGTTGGATCTTAAAGAAAATACCCAAAAAACAAAGAATAGGCAAATTCAGGAAACCTGTAAACTGGGACCATGACTTGGGTTCTAATCCTACTCCACGAGGATTAGCTACATAACTCACATCCCTGTATCTCCACATTTCGTCTTTAAGGTGGGAGCAATGGCCATTCGTATCCTGTAGAAACGCTAGAAGTTTACATGAGTGCTCAGCCCTCAGCGGGATGTCTACACCCCGCTCCTCCTCTCAAAGCTCAGGAGTCAAAGGCAGCGGATGGCCACAACCAAACAATGCTTCCAGGGCCCGGCACGGAAGCTGCACACAGGGAAGAGCTTGTGTTAGCTGTGGCAGCATGCATAAGACTCGTGTGAGATCAAGTCAAGCAAAACCTAAGCATGAGGGGGAGGAGCCAGGCTAAGCATGGAGGGGGAGGAGCCAGGCTAAGCATGAGGGGGAGGAGCCAGGCTAAGCATGAGGGGGAGGAGCCAGGCTAAGCGTGGAGGGAGAAAGGCAGCCAGGATTTTCTACCCTTAGATGAGAAACTATCGGCAACCGCTGACTGTGGAGAGAGGGAGAGTTAGCTTATTTCAAGGATGCAACCCCTGTGAGGCTACCTGTGTCCCAGGAGATGGCTTCATTCCCCCACCTCCCCCCCCGCATGCGCTACCAGCTCTGAGTGGACACGGTTAGGGTTAAAGGAGAAAAAGGAAAAGGAAGGCAACATGAAGCCGGGAAGGGATGGTTGTGGGGAGCAGGGAGGAGTTGGAGCAGGGGGAATGGGGTTGGCGTTGACTGAAACGCACTAGATGCAAGTACAAAACTCTCAAACAATTAAAAAAAAAGCCAACTGGAAAACAATTGCAATTAATCAAGTTTGATCACAGTGTCTGTCACAGCGTTTTTTTTTTAAAGAGAGATTCCCCCCCAAAAAAAGATTGACATGAACACGAAAGCTCTTAATGGAGGTCTCAGAACATAGCCAGCGCTTGATGAACCCTTGCATTTATCATTCCTGTCACCTGAGGTCTCTGAAGTGCGAATTGAACTGACGACATGTTGTTGACACTCCAAAAGAGGAGTTGCAGAAGTGGCCCGTAGACTCCCCGAATCCGCGTTCTCTGCAGACACTGTGCATGCATGAAGTGTGGTGTAAGCGCGTTAGCTCTGTTAAGGAAAGGCGTCCCCCTTGTTCCCTTTCAAGGTGATCGGTTTGCTGGCCGCTGAGTGGAACATCCCCGCATTCGACTTTGCTGGGCGAATGGCAGCACTGGAGGACCACTTCTGGTGTGGGACCTGCGTGACCCTTGTGCCACCCAGGCAGGAAATTGTTTCTGTGCTGCAGGAAAGCCTACGGTACCTGGGCTGGGAAGACATTGGGGTGTTTGGAGGCTCCGCTGGGGCTTCCTCCGGTGATGGAGTGGATGAGCTGTGGGAGGCTGTTGAGGGTGGACTCCAGTGGCATTTCACCGTCACTGCCAGCATGAGGTACAGAAACAGCAGCCCAGACCTTCTGCAGGAAGACCTCAGAAGCATATCATCTGTTGCCAGGGGTGAGTAGGCAAAAATCTTCCTTTCCTTGTGTTTGAAGACTGTTTAGAAACAGCTCTGGACTCTCTGTCTTTATACTTATTTTCCTAGAAGTATAAAAAGCAGGAAGAGAAAAGGTATAAAATTAATGGTACATTAAAGCAATCTCTTTATATATATGCATATACATGTATATATATATATATATGTTTTTATATGGTATGAGCTCTCGGCTGTTATATAGTGTTGTGCTGCACTGAATAAGTTCTAGAAGCATATTACTGGTATTTTAGGTGCTGGACTTTATTTGATCATGGAGAATATGGCCTTTGGAGACAGAAACACTTAGTTTTTTTTAAATTTCAGTTTCCCCACTTTCTAGCTGTGTGTCCATGGACGAGAACCCTAACCTCTCTGTGCCTTGGATCCCTTCTCTATTACATAGAGTTAGCCATCATACCTCTCTCCTGGGAAGGCTGGGACTAAGCAGGGTCATATGTGGGAAGTGCTCAGCGCCACATCCAGGTTGGTAGTTGGCCGTCAAGCAGATGGCAGCACTCCCTCCTGTGTGTTGAGAATGTCGACTCCTGTGTCCTCGGTGAACTCATTCTTCATGGCCTTGGGACAATGGGATTGCCAAATCATTGTCCTCAGAGTGACACCCATGGCCACCCAGGCTCAGTCCCAAGTCCCCTTTCTCGAGGAGGCCTTCTCTGAACCCCCCTCCAAAACTGGGATCAAACCCTTGCCCCTCTGAGTGTTCAGTCCTCCCCTAATCTCTCCACTCTGTCTGGGACTCCAAAGATGTCCTCTGTAGGCTCATGTGCCCAGTGCTTGGTCTCTAACTGGTGACTATTTCAGGAGGTTCTGGGATCTCTAGGACACTGGATCTCAACCTTCGTAACACTGAGGCCCTTTAATACAGTTTCTCATGCTCTGGTGACCCCCACCAGCAATTTCATTGCTGCTTCCTGTGATTTTGCTACCGTCATGAGTCATAACGTGAATGTCTGTGTTTTCTGATGATCTTAGGTGACCTCTGAGAAAGGGCTCAACCCCCAAAGGGGGTGAGACCCACAGATTAAGAGTCAGGGAATGGGGCCTGGCTTCAGAAAGCAGGTCCCTGGGAGTGTGTCTGGAGGGTACACTTGGTTCCGATGCCTCCTCATCCTCTCCTTCCTGTCTACCGTGAAGTGAGCAGCCTGCTCCTCTATGTGCTCACACCGCCATGAAGTTCCATATCAATGTGGGGCCATGAGACCACGGGCTGAGCTCTCTGACGCCATGAGCCCAAACCAGCCGCCTTTCTCCCTTTAAGCTGCTCTCCCTGGGGTCTGTGTGAGGGTGAAGAAAACCGGTAGCCGATGCACTCCCTGACAGTAGAGCTCACTCTGTCCTGCTCCCCGCTGTTTCCCATGTGGAACACAGTGCCTGTCACACACTCGAAGATACAGAGGAAGACACCAGCTCATCCAAAGGCCATCTGTGTGACTTCAAAATGACCGATGGTTTTACGGAGAGAGAAGGAGCAGAGCAGCTCAGCCATTTCCCCACGTCCCGACTCAGAAGGTCCACATGCCCCTGACTCCAGGTCCATTTGTCTTCCTCTTAATTGATGCACAGCTGAGGAGTTGTCGGTTTTGGGGTCAGTTAAATAAAATCAAGGCATAAAAAACCGATCTCAAGCTCTGTGGACTTGTACGTTGTGGTGCCGGAAGACTGTAGCAAAGCTTAGTTGGCAGCTTGTAGGTCATAGGTTCAGTTTTGATATACTGTCCTACAATAGCAATAGGCATGCCTCTTTCCTGAAGCACGTTAAAAGAAATAAAGAGACTGCGTCTTGTTTGGAGTGGTTTTATTTTAGACATAAAAAAAGAACGCATGTTGTGGGGGGTGGTGTATGACACACACACACACACACACACACACACACACCTATGTGAGCATGAGCAACTGTCTGACTCCGTTTTCCCTTCTTCTAGTTATCATCCTAATATGCAGCTCAGAGGACACAAGGCGCATTCTGCAGGCTGCAGAGAACCTGGAACTCAACACTGGAGAATTTGTTTTCATCGTTTTACAGCAGTGGGAGGTAGGGGTCTATGTACTGGCCAAGGTCTCTGTGGTGAGAGGTGGTGAGGAGGGCCACATAACAGGATGCTTATGGGAACCAGATACCCAGTACAGCTCTGGGAGGTGAGTAGTCTTGAAGGTTTCTCTTAACACCAGGGCTGAGGGCCTGGGGTACAGCTCAGTCGGTGGTGCTTGACAACCTTGGTCCTCAGAACCCGCTTTTAAAATGCTTGGTGGCCCACACTTGGCATCCCTGTCCTGGGGAGGTGGGGAAAAGATTGCTTCCTAGAACTTTACTGCTACTCATCCCTGGTTGGTGAGCCTCGGGCCAGTGAAAGACCCTGCTCAAAAATACAAGAGGTTAGCCGGGCGGTGGTGGCGCACGCCTTTAATCCCAGCACTTGGGAGGCAGAGGCAGGCGGATCTCTGTGAGTTCGAGGCCGGGCTGGACTGATAGCGTCTGAAACAATACAGAGAAACCCTGTCTCGTAAAAACCAAAAAAAAAAAAAAAAAACAAGAGGTTGGCGCTGAAAACAACGCTCAAGGTTGACCTTTGGCCTCCACGCACACGCACGCACATGTGACCATGCACTTGCACACATACACACATACCAGCATGTGAGCATGATTGTATGCATGCATGCACGCATGCACGCACGTGTGCACACCCCCCCCACACACACACAGAGTAGACTAAGAGTGAACTGAAAGCATTTACCCAGAGTTCCTCTGCACAGTTAGTGAGGGACTAGGCCTGTGCTGGGATGAGGTTAGCTGGCTCCAGAGTCCAGCCGCTGTCCTCCAGGTGGGCACCCACCAGCCCAACTCTCCTTTCTGCCACGTACATAGGCCCATGTGAAGGACTCTCAGGTGGCTCTCATTTCTGTCCTCCTCTCATCGATTTCCCCATGTCCCGGTTGAACCTGACGAAGGCCTGTAGAGACCATAGCACCTGCCCAGTGAGGCAACCCTGAGGTGGTCTGGTTCTTTGATAATGGTGGGAGAGGCTGAAGAGCCGCACGCTGGCCATAGCAGTGTTAGGTATCTGACATTTGCTGCTGCAAGGCAGGCATGATTATCCTTCCAGCTTTTAAAAACAAGACTTAGACAGGCAAGTGTGGCGCCTCACCAATGATCTCAACACTCAGAGTTGCCTGAGCCTTTGTTCGTTTCTTATCTTCTTTACAGAGTAAGAGGTGGAGGCCCAGAGAGGTGACATAACTTTTTTGTTTGTTTGTTTGGTTTTTCGAGACAGGGTTTCTCTGTATTCTTTTGAAGGCTGTCCCGGACCTCTCTCTGTAGACCAGGCTGACCTCGAACTCACAGAGATCCACCTGCCTCTGCCTCCCGAGTGCTGGGTTTAAAGATGCACGCCACCAACGCCCGGCTCGAGGTGACATAACTTACCCAATGCTGCACAGCTACCTCCTAGCCTTCAGTGCTTGTATTCTAGCCCTCAGTGTCTGCACACATTACACTGGTGACGTCTAGAACGACCACTGTCTTTCTTTCTCTGGGTGTCCACAGTGTAGTTCCCCATAGGTTTTTGCTTTCTAAAATGAGCTTGTTTTTCTATAACCAGAAGGTTCTAACAGGGGCGAAGGGGATGTAGAGAGGTATAACAATGACCACGTAGCTCTTCCTTCATCGGGAAGTGAGTGTTGGATGGCCACACTGCCTCAGATTTCTCTGCGTGGCAGCTGGGAATCTACCTCTCTCCTTTCCCGGCTATCCTCCTGCCTCCTTTTGTTGCTACTAACCCCTTCCTCCACTTCCCCTCATCTCTGCTTGCAGGTAGATGGTGAGAAGAGAGGATGGGGGAAACCTAGGGTTTTCAGAGGATCCCTTCCGACCATTCCTTCTTCCTTATTAAAAACGCTGATGGTCAATCCCGACTGCTTTATCGTACAGGAAGAACACAGAATGTAAAATATACCATGGAGTGTTCATACAATTGAGTTCATCCTGCTCATCTTGCTTCTTCTTCTTCTTCTTCTTCTTCTTCTTCTTCTTCTTCTTCTTCTTCTTCTTCTTCTTCTTCTTCTTCTTCTTCCTCTTACGAGACAGGGTTTCTCTGTATTGTTTTGGAGGCTGTCGGTCCAGCCCGGCCTCGAACTCACAGAGATCCGCCTGCCTCTGCCTCCCGAGTGCTGGGACTAAAGGCGTGCGCCACAACCGCCTGGCTCATCCTGCTTCTTAATAATGCATTTGGTAAAACCAGTTAAGCCAATATTGCAAAAAAAAAAAAATCAAGCTGCAGAGCAACAGACGAATGTAATATCGGTTATGTAAAATACATATACTTTGTATGTACACATGCATGTGCATGTACATGTGTGCTTCTATATTTGCTTGTACGAGGGAATCTGGGATACATGCAGTGAGTGTTGTGCGTTTGTCAGAGCAGTGATAATAATATAGATGACAGCTATGGGAATAAACACTGAGCCCACAAGGCAAAATGGAGACCAGATGGTCCTAACCTGCTCAGCTTTTCAGTCTTTGCCGTTACATAAGCTCTCTGTGTCTTAGCTGCTTGGTGCTCCACTACGTTCTTCCGTCTTTACCCATTGGCTTCCTTCCTGATGCTCGTGTGCTAGCTAGCGAATGTGTACCTGGCCTGGCATTGCAGAACCGTCTGGAATTATTGTATTTCCAAGAATTGGTGTGCAACCATGAAAGTTCTGGGCTGTCTTGAATGCAGTTGGGCTCCGTGGGTCATTTCCTACAGCCTGGTGAAAAATTTTCCTTTGTTCCTTTTTTAGGACAGTTTTTGGAAAGAAGCACTGACAAATGACAAGGCGACAGGTTTCCCCAAAGTCTATGAGTCAGTGTTTGTCATCGCCCCCAGCTCCTATGGAGAAGGCACTGGAGATGGTGGCTTCCGGAAACAAGTCTACCACAGGTTGAAGAGGCCACCCTTCCAAAGCTCCATCACCACAGAGGATCAGGTCTGCTGGAGGTTTTTGCACAGTTGATTTTGCATTTATCTCTCTTATTTTTCTGCCTACCCCCCCCCCGACCAAGACCCCACACCACACACACCGTTGTCTTCCACAGCCTGAAGGAAACCAGTGATCTGATGTCCTTATGTAAAGCCCACACCCATGCCCACAGAGGAGCCAGAGTTATGGGATAGAAAGTCACTGGCCTTTGCTATCCACTAGTGTGGAGCCTTGGAGTAAATTACCTAATTTCCTCATAGCTGGGTTTCCTCAGACATGAATTAGAATCGTTAATGGCGCCTACCTTCCAGGCTCGCCGTGAGCGCCCCACAATACACTTCCAGGATGGCGACAGGACTAATAGCCAGGAGGAACAGGCAAGCATTGAGTCAGCACAGCCTGGGCAGGCAGGTAGGCTCTGACAGAGTGGTCATGAGAGGAAATATCAGCCAGCAGGAGTAGGAGCGTATACAAAAAAACAACATGGAAAACGTTTTACAGAGAACGTTGCCAAGAGAGGAAGCTACTTCTACTCTGGGGCCACACCGAGACACTGAAGACAGGTTTTGATGAGGAATGAGGGTCAGACTGTGGGCCCTACCAGGGTGAGAAGATGCTTACTTTAAGGATGGCTCTGTTCCAGCTGCTAGAGGGGAAAGGGGCCTAGCTTTGAGTAGGCACTTAACACTTCTGTTGATAGGACAAGCAGGCATTGAAGACTCACTATGGACATCCGTCCTGTGATAGCTTATATACTCAGCCTCATCTGGAACCATATACATTTCTGGAGTCATTTTGTCTCCATGTTATAAACGAGTGAGATGATGTCTGAAGAGGCCACAGAGCTCGATTCTGCTTATAGCCCCAAAACGGCAGACATTCTGGCTTTTGGATATCTCACCCAAGGCACCCTCCCCTCCTAATGGAAGCTAATGGCCTCCTGGAGCTTATCTTGGTCTGAACATGTGATCCACCTAGAAAACTGGGGGACCCAGGAAAGGCGAAGACTTCGATAGCTAGGTTTGACATCATCGGGTGTGGGCGCGAGGTAGCTCCCTTCTCCTCTCAGTTAGGCTGGTCCTGTGCTTGGACGATGGAGAATTATTTCTTCTAGTTGGGTGGTAGAAGTTGGGGGTTTATGCACACCGCACTTGCTTCTCTTGTTGAAGGTGAGCCCTTACTCTGCCTACCTCCACGACGCCCTCCTACTCTACGCTCAGACTGTGGAGGAGATGATCAAGGCTGAGAAAGACTTCTGGGATGGGCGGCTGCTGGTTAGCACCCTGAGGACTGGCCAGATCACACTGCAGGGTAAGGTGGTCTCTGAGCTCAGGCCTCTTAGCCTCATACCTGTGGACTTGGAGATGCTGGGCAGGAGCCCACACGCTTTCTGTAAGGCCCATCTCACTCTGATATGGAATAGTCATCATCTTAACAGGATTGTAGTCTTCCATAGGGTACACGGGCTGAAGCCTCCTGACCGCTCTGAGTATCCCCAGCCAGGAGAAGGGGCCTCTGAACATCTTATCCTCTTCCCCAAGGGACTCTCTCTCTCTCAGCTTCCTCTTGCAGACACTTGCCTGTAGATCACATCTGAACAGCAAGGCAGTGTGCCATCCTGGGGAGAAAAAGTCACCAGGGCCTGTATCCGTGGGGTTGTGTGCCAACACTGCCTCCCTTGGCTCTGGAAGGCAGACTTGGGACACTAATCCCCTAGGCCACCTGTGTTAGCACTGAGATTTCCCCCTTTTCTGAGACTGTCACCAAGATCACAGAGCCAGGCACACAGTAGGTACTTCACAAGTGACAATGCTGTCCTGTCCTCAGTGGAACCTAATGTCAGGGCATGGGTGCTGGTTTGGGGTGTAAGATAGGCGCTCCCTTTCTGCTGGGTCCTTGGCAGGTAGAGTGGGGCAGGGATGGGGGGTGGGGGGTGGGAGGGAGGGTGGAGAAGGGCTGGTCCAGGAAGGGTCCAGCCGGTCTCTTCCCGGGGCTGAGCGGGATGGTGAGCATCCACGACTCAGACCCTCCCCCCATTAGTTACCAGGGAAAATACACACTGAGTTGGGAGTCTGTCAAAGCGGGATCTCAATTTATTACAACATGCAGGAACTTATATAGGGCCGAGGTAGGGGACGGGAATCTTAGGATGGGGTAAGGTGACATGAGGAGTTGAGGGCCAATAATAAATATCCCACCAAGCAGGCAGGTAGCTAGGCAGGGGGCAGTCTTACATCAGGTCTGGCTGAGTCACCCCCACGTGGAGGTTACAGGTCAGAGGCAGGTCGCCAAGCTCTAGCCAGGCTCGAGAGGTTACACTGGGCCTCGCATCTGAGCCTTTTTTTTTTAAGGCCCAACACCTTTGATGAAGTCTCTCCACGATAGAGTTTAGCATGTCCCAACAAGGACAGCGGAACTGCTAGCTGGGACTGAGCGGCCAGCCAGAGCTTCAGACCCACCCAAGTCAGAAGAGAGGGCCCAGAGAGAATGAAACTTGCAAACCCGTGTCTCAGGAATGCTTATAGGTGCTGCGTGCAGCCTTCCCGCCAGCCTGGTGCCGGAGCCGCATCAGTCCCAAATAAACACACAGGAGGATGTATTCATTATGAAGCTGTTGGCCGTTTGCTTGTTTCTTACTGGCTAGCTCTGACTTAAGTAATTACCCCATAATTGTTAATCTAAGTATGTCTCTTACCGGAGAAAGGGTCCGGACCTCTTACTTCTATGGCGACTACATGATGTCTCCCTGTGTCTCTCTTTCCCAGAATCCTCCTCGACTCCTAGTCCCACCTATCTTGCTTCCCTGTTGGCCAACAGTGCTTTATTCAATAACCAATAAGAGACAGATTTCAGAATGACGTCTCCCATCAGTAGGGAGCAGGCAGCATGGCAGGGACCAGAGAGGCAGCTGTCTGTCCTTCATCCCCAGCCACTGCCCTGTGGCCATTCAGCTCCGAGACGCCACAATTTCTGATTGCATAGAAGGTGGTTTTACGTGCAACGCATGCAAGATGGCTTAATTTTTCCCCCTCGACCCTGGATGAGCCTCCCTGTTTGGAGCTGAAGAGATGGTCTACCTTCCCAGCGTGGCTTCACTTCTGAGCCGCCTTCTAACCCTTGGTGTACACGCTGACCCTAGCTCAGGTCTTGTCAAATGGCAGAGCCTGCCATCCACGTCTGGTGGGGAATGGGCATGCCAATTAGAGCTGGCACAGGCTGCTGCTTGCAGCCGAGAGCGCACCACTTTGTCCTTACCTGGGGTAATCTCTCTTTCCAGGAATCTCTGGCCCTGTGCTTTTGGACTCCCAGGGGAGAAGGCACCTGGATTACTCAGTCTATGCTCTACAGAAATCTGGGAACAGATCCCTTTTTCTCCCTTTTCTTCATTACGACGCTTTTCAGAAAGTGATCAGGTATTGCTTGTCACTTCTGTAAGACTGGTCATCCTGTAAGAAGAACCTGGGTTGGGGGGCGGATCAGAGGTTTGGGATCCAGGTCTACAATACCCCACTAAACAGTCTGTTCACTAAGTTATGTCGAACCAGGGGCCTGTGGGTTGCATATGTTTCAGGATAGTTATGAATGCAGTCCAACACAATACTGTAAACTCAGGTAAAACACCAGGCTTTTTTTGGATATGTGTACACACACACACACACACACACACACACACACACACACACACACAATCAGTTCTTTGTTTTTGTTTGTGTTTTTTGAGACTGGGTCTCTCTGTGTAGCTCTGGCTGTCCTGGAACTCACTCTGTAGACCGAGCTGACCTCGAACTCACAGAGATCCATCTGCCTCTGCCTCCCGAGTGCTGGGAATAAAGCCATGCACCACCACTGCTTAGTCAAAATCAGTTCTTCAGTGTGAACTTTGTAGATGGCAGCATCCTGTTAATGACGTCAGAGCTTTCTGAACTAACAGAGACCAATTTGGTTTGGCCAGATTGTGGGTACCACCCTTTTCAGGGTCCCAGGGGAGAACACAGAAACAGAGTACCCCAACTGTCACTCCACAGGATTTCTGTCTCCTTGGATGCCCCAGCTGGATCCCAGTTCCACAGGATCCCAGCGGAGGACACAGAAACACAGAGCCCCAGCTGTAACTTCATAGAGTTTTTGCCTCCTTTGATGCTGGATCCCATTCCCAGTGGTGGCCAGAAGAAGCCCCGATCCCCTAAGGCAGTGAATCTTAGGGCCACCTACGGCCCGAGGCCACATCCAGTAAAGCCACTTGCCTACAAAGTCTGCCTCCCAGAGACTCCCAGGGACATCAGGACCTATGCTGTTCTGGGTTCCCAGCACCAGGAATTCCTGCAGAAATCCTTTGTATTGTCCTGTCCGCAGTGGAACCTAATGTCAGGGCACGGATGCTGGTTTGGGGTGTAAGATAGGTGCCCCCTTTCTGCTGGGTCCTTGGCAGGTAGAGTGGGCAGGGGTGGGGGAACAATGAGGAAACAAAAAGAGATTCTGTGAGACATTTTCCCTCCCTTCTTCTTTGAGAAAAGTAAGTCCCAGAAGAGGCCAGACAAAAAACAAAGTAACTATAACAAACCAGGTCCTCAGTGTGCTAGGAAGGGGTACATTCCACAAAGGAGTGAACCGTCAAGATGCTTGCTATGCATTAAGATCTGTCCATGCCAAGCATGGCTGACATTTGTAGCACTGGCATGACCTTTTAGTCGAGAGAGACCGTGGTTTAAGTTAGACCTGGTTTAAGTTACAAGATTGTGGAAGTTACTCTACCTGGAAAAAAAAAGTAGAAGACGTTGCTTTCTCTGAGTCACATGACTGGACGCCAGAGTTGAAGTTTGGAGACCTAATGGAGGTAGAAAACACTCATCGGGTCACCAGACGTTTGAACCTGGGGCCTAAGCCTGTTTGCTTTCATTGTTGTTTGCTTATACTTATTCATCTCTGTGCACACATTCATGAATGCATGCATAGGGGGCGTGTTCATGCCACGGCATGAATGTGCAGCTACAAGGACAACTTTGGGGAGTTGGTTCTGTCCTTTCATCATGAGAGTTCCAGGGATCCAGGCTTCACAGTATAAGTACCTTCACCCACTAAGACATCTTTCTAGGCCCTGGTTTTTTTTTTTTTTTAATGTATGTCTCAGTTGCTCTTGTCGTGTATGGGGTGAGACAAGTAGAATAAATACGCTGAACACAGACCTTTGTCGTCTCTGCTCTAAAGGCCCTGGAGGAATGACTCTGATGCCTCTTGGCTCCATGGCTCCCCTCCCGAAGACAGGCCTGGCTGTGGATTTCATAACAAGCTTTGCAAAACGGAGCCTCCTGCTGTAACAGGCACGCGCGACAACTCCGAGAAGGGACAGGGACAGTTTCTCAACAGCACGGTGCTTGGGGCCAGAAAGCCTTTCTGTGTGGGACTGTCCTGTACTTGTGCACAGTGAGATGTAATGACCCTCTTAGCTAGAACTGAAAGTGTTTCCAGACCCCGTCATGCCCACCTTCCCTGTTCAAAGCCATCACTATCAGGAACCCCAGCTCCTGAGATTCAAGTCTTAGAACTTCCTTCAAGGAGGCAAAAAGAGTCTGGGCAGACGCTGTGGCTGAATAACAGGCTAGGAGCCTGGCTTTTGAATTACATAGACCATGCCTGGAGGACAACACTACAGAGAATGAATAGTAATTGCTCAACAAAAGCGTTGGGAGTCATTGCTATGTTCTTCCTATAGAAGTATCTGTTAACAAAATATGAGTTGACTATATTTGCCATGGAGGAGGGTGGCAGATTGGAGCTAGGGGTCCCAGCAGAGCCAAGTCTAAATGGCTTCAGCATGATAAAACCTACACTATGTTTGGACAGCCTTTGAGACACCTGCTTGGCTCACAGGTGGGTCTGAGTAATGTCTGTCTCTACCTCTAGGTGACCCTGAGCCTCTGGTGATTCTCACAGTGACACTCCTGGTTCTTGCCACAGTGGCTGCCGTTACAGGGCTGGTGTTATGGATGTTGAGAAGAGAAGCACAGAGTCATCACGGGAACACCCGTTGGCAGATCCGTTATGACAGCATCACTGTTCTGCCCCAGCACAAGGTGACTTGCAAAGGGACCGCCCCTAGGAACTCATGATAGCAAGGGGGTGACTCGCTGAGGAAAAGTCTCAAGAACTGAGTTAAGTCTCTAGGTTACATTCATCCGAGAATGCTATCCTGCCTCCCAAAACCTCAATTGTTTTTTAAACATTAAGCTATTCTTGTTTGTACTATAGATCTAAACAGTGTGTCCATGCCTCCATCCCCTCCCTCCACTTCTCTCCCCCCCAAAATATCTCCATTCCCAATTTCATGCCCCCCACTAAGTACATATGCAAATATGTGTGAGGTCATCCACTGGGGGTGGGGAGTCTACTGGTGGCCACACCTACTCCACTCCAAGAGTGACTCATTCTCTCGGTCTTCCTCAGCAGCCCAGACTTCCAAGAGCTCTTCCATGCTCCAAGTTGGACTTTTTTTATCTGGCTTGATCTTGTGTCGGTCTTGTGCTGGTAACCACGGTGTCTGTGAGTTCACCAAGGCCAGCTTTCCACTCCTCTGGCTCTTACATTCTTTTATCCCCCTCTTCCAAGGCTCTCCCTGAACCTTGGGAGGGGAGATTGACATAGGGTTCCAGCTTTCGACTCTTTGGAAATGACTGGTGATCTTCTAAAGCTCAACTCTTCTGTGTGGGGTGTCCCTGTGGGGCATGTAGCCTTATTGACAACATTAACCCTTTAACCTAGCAATGATTGCTACATATAGGTCATTTGCATAGCAATCATATCTGTCTACCATCCAGGGCAGCCTAAGCACAACTCAAGGCTTCAGGAGGCCCTAGAGGGATCCAGAGGTACGTCTCCATGGTGAGATGGAAGCCCGGAAACGCAGCGTGAGGCGAGAGTTTCCGCGAGGAAGTGCCGTTTAGGAAGAACGAATTGTTAGCAGCGACAAGGAGAGAAGTCACATAGACTATGTCAGGATGTCAGAATATTAGGACATGTCATGCTGAAGGCTGGGAAGATTGGCTGGTACCAAGTCTGGGAGATTTCAGGGTCCTAAGCTAATTAATCTGGTTACTTCCAAATGTCCCCAGGGGTCTGAGTCTGTTCTTCCCTCACCACACACAGAGCTGTAATCTGATTTGCTCGGTTTTGCACATTAGGGGGTCCATTAATATTCACTTTAAAACGGACTAGGCTTTCTATGCTCTGAAAATGTGCTGTAGTTTGTTAAGGAGGTTCTGGAAATATTAAACACAGAGACAACTTGGATGGGCGGTGGTGGCGCACGCCTTTGAATCCCAGCACTCGGGGTGCAGAGGCAGGCAGATCTCTGTGAGTTGGAGGCCAGCCTGGTCTACAGAGCGAGTCCCAGGACAGCCAGGACTGTTTCACAGAAAAACCCAGAGGTAACCTAGGCTCACTGGATCGGGACGACGATTCTGTCTCCGCCTCTGCGTAAGTAGCACTGCTAGAGCAGGGGTACAGGCAGCCTGGCCTCTGAGCCTGTGCTACCCATGGTGGTGCCCAGGCCAAGAGTGAGGCATGCAGCAGGAAGACACATTTTGGATCAGAAAGATCAGAGTTCAAGGCTTGGCTTTCCCAGGTATTGACTGTGTGACCTCGCAATCCATCCTCCTTTATCTACAAAATATGCCATCCTGTGGGTACCAGGACGTGCTGCTGAGAGCAACTGAGGTGTGTCTCGTTTTCCAGCCACCCCAACGAGGCACACCTGTGTCGAGGTGCGACGTTAGTAACGCTTCTACTGTGACGAGTTCTGCAGACTGCAGCTCTTTTGCCAAGAGCCAACGGGACGAAGAGATGTTTTATGCCCCTGTGGGACTTTATCAGGTACTTCTGTGCGTATGAGTGTCAATGTTGATTTCTGTCCTGTTCTCTGATTGAATTTGATCAGGCCGGACATTATGAATAGAAGGATATTCTCCAAACAAAATCCAGGGTACAGCAAAGTATATATAAATACGGTGTCTTACTTTAAAAAAAGGAACTTAAGAAATGTTTCTGAAGTGAAGATTTTGGGTCAGCAGGGTGTAGGCTGAGATTCTGCAGTTGTGACGAGCTCCCCTGTGAGTCCTCCACTAGTGACTCCATCAGAGTCAGAACTCCAGGTAGAACCTCCTGCTGTGATGGCAACATCCCAAAGCTACCACAGCCACTAGCTACAGGTGACTAGTGTCTCTAGGGAAACTGAATGTTAAAGATAATTAAATTGAAATAGCTAGGGAGCCGCGAATATGACTCAGTCAGGGCCGCCCTCACTGTCAGCACTGGGACCTAACTTTCAATCCCCAGCACCTAAATAGAACAGCAGCAACCAGGAGTGGCAACGCATGTCCGAGACCCCAGTGCTGGAGAGGTAGAGACGGGTTTGTTAGCCAGCCTGTCTGGCTGAATTGATGACCTTTAGGTTCAGCAAGAGACTGTCTCAAAAGTAAGGTGGAAACCAATAGAACAGAGTGCCCGACATTGGCCTCTGGTACCACACACGCGTGCGCGCACACGCGCGCGCACACACACACACATACACACAATTTAAATAGTCCCAGGTGTCGCCTAGCGGCAAGCTTAGTAGGTAGCACAGTCTTGGCATGAGGATTTCTTTAATCCCGGGACTTTAACGGCCCATGCTGGATACTGATACATCAGCAATGCAAACCTGGCAGCTGTTGGAGCTCAGACATTGCTCTCCCCGCATCCTTTCTCAGCTGGCCCCAAAGCACATGTTCAGTCACCCTCTAAAAGCTCAGCTCCCTTTGGGGGAAAGTTAAGTAGTTCCTGGGAAATGGAGGCAGAAAGTGCCAAGCACAGCCATCACTGACCGCTGCTCTCGAGAGTGGTTTCGGTTTCCGGTCGGGTCATGCCCGCTCTGCCTTCCCCACCCCAGCTGGAACCGGCTCATCCTTCAGGTTTCCGCACGGGTCCTCCAGGAACCTTTGCCTCAGTTCCGCAGGGGTCCCTTCCTCCACAGGAAGCCGGCCTCTATGCCAACCCCTTAACAGTTGCTTCTCCACTGGAAGTGGCAGATCTGGGGGTTGATATTCAGCTGATTCTGAGCCTTGCCCCTACCCGCTCCCCTGCTGTTGGGTTTACAGACCACACACTCCCTCCCTCATTGTCGTATGTTGTTGTGGTTGGGGTTTGAGTGTCTCTGAAAGCAGACCCAGTAGGTAACAAAAGTAAGACTCGTCATTTCACGGAAGCTTTATATGCCAACTGACCCCCTCCTTCTCCAAAACATACGCGTTTGGTGGTGATGCCCCCCTGACATTTTACAGGTGAAGAAAGGGAGGCTGGGGGGGAGTGAAATTGAATTGTCACAATGGGCTTGAACTAGGCGCCTGACTCCAGACCTCAACTCACTATTTTCTTGGATGAGACATAGAAGAGAGAGTTGGTCTTGGAATCAGATATTCAGACCTGGCTGCATCACTGCACATCTGCCAGGCTGGACAAGCTACCCAACCTCAGTGATCCCATCCAGAATGGGGCTAAGCACAGCCCCCTGGCAGGGCTGTGATGACAGGTGAAGGAGCCCTTACTGCTGAACCTGGGGCCTACCACAGTGCCACCAAGGGGGTTGACTGGACGGAGAGGAGTTGGATGCTCTCGCCCATAGATGGCGCTCTCCCCGGTTTTCCCATTCCCTATTCTCACCTTTTCTCGGTGGTGATGTTTCTGGATCTCCTTGAGCTAAGAACATTCTGCTTTGGGGCTGGAGAGACGACCCAGTGGTTAAGAGCACTGGTTGCTCTTCCAGGGGCCTGGGTTTGATTCCTAGCACACACAGGGGAGCTCACAACCACCTGTAACTGCCATCCCAGGAGATCTAACGCCCTCTTCTGTTCTCCCCAGGTACTGTACACGCATAGTACACAGACACCCATGCGTTAAAAATACTATAAAGGAGCCGGGCGGTGGTGACAAATGCCTTTAATCCCAGCACTCGGGAAGCAGAGGCAGGCTGATCTCTGTGAGTTGGAGGCCAGTCTGGTCTACAGAGTGAGTTTCAGGACAGGATCCAAAGCAATATAGAGAAACCCTGACTCAGGAAAAGAAAGAAAGAAAGAAAGAAAGAAAGAAAGAAAGAAAGAAAGAAAGAAAGAAAGAAAGAAAGAAAGAAGGAAGGAAAAAATACTAAAAGGAAAAAAAGAGCGTTTTACTTTGTCTCTGACTCTAGGGAAATCGAGTGGCCCTCTGCTATATTGCTGATGAAGCAGAATCATGGCTTAGGAAGCCAACTGTGCTGCAGGAAATCTGGCTGGTGAGGCTCCTCTCTGCCCTGCAGGTCCTCTGTCCCCGCTGTGAGAAGCGACCTCCCTCCCAAAGGTTCAAAGGTTCAATGGTGGAAGGGGTTCCAGCTCGGGCACTGCTCTTTCTTGACTGCAGGGGGCTTGGACCTCAGACTCTTGGCTCTTAGGCAGGAACCTGAAGTGTGGTTCCCTCCTGCTTCTATCTGCCCCCTTAACTTTTCCTGACCTTAATTCTGACCCTTCGCCCTCTGTCTGGGATGGCGCCGGCTTCCTCTTGAGCTTGGGTCTTGGGGAGGGTTTGACACTCTGCTGGCATTAACAACAGCAGCAACCAGGGGAGTAGTGCAGGATCCACCTGTGATGACGAAGTTTAATTACTACCATGGCTTGGATTGGACTTTGATAGCCTCCTGGCTTGTTTGCTGGACTCCCTGGGTTTACTTCCTAGCGGAGCCACTTAGCAGCTGCATCCCCTTCAATAAGCCGTTCTACCTTGAGGGCATCTGTTCTTTGCCTGTAACGTGGGAGGATTCACCTCTCATAGCACCTGGGCAATCAATTCACCAAAAGTCAGTAAAGCATGCAGTGTGGTCACCGTGTAAGGCACGCTCCATATATAATGATATCGCCATTATTGTTTCCAGATGTGTGAGTTAAAGCACGAAAACATCGTCCCCTTCTTTGGGGTTTGCACGGAACCACCTAACATCTGCATTGTCACACAGTATTGCAAAAAAGGAAGTCTGAAGGTAAGCAGAAATATTACATTTCATGTCAGGCTTCATTAGACAGCCGGTGGAAAACCTTATCCACCTTTCCCCCATTCATCCAAGCATGGTTCCCTTTTTGTCTCACCGAAAGACCTGAATTATCTTAGCCTTCTTCCCTGGGATCTGCCAGGAATATGAGGGAATCTGCCAATTGCTGGTTTCTTTTCCACATTTGTTCTACAAGGTCACCCTCCTCTTGAACCCCACCCCTTTCCTGGAACGTGATGGTCAGGGAAACCAGGTGTTGGTAGAATCCAAGTTCTGCACATGGAGGGAGGCTGTGCAATCTTCTGTGAAGATTTCCACTTAAGTGTCACATGTTCCATCTCACATCAGTTCCAGTAAAAAAGACATGAGCTACATGATCGAGTGGTATTTGGAATACCTGTGTTTTCTAGGATGTCTTGAGAAACACAGATCATGAGATGGATTGGATTTTCAAGCTCTCATTTGCATATGACATAGTCAACGTGAGTATAACAGAAACTAACTTAAAGAATACATATCACATATTTCTGAGTTGTGCTTAAATGTCTTTAAACTGAATGACTCAAGGTTTAAATCTGATCACTTCCATCAGATGTCCCGTGGTTTTCTCATTCTCTAATCATATGTCAATATGGAGGGGGAGAAGTGCTCTAAACCAAACGTGGACTGAACGGTAGGCTTGCCCGATTAGGAAAGAGCAGGGCATTCAGGCTTGGGGAAGGCTGGGACAAGAACTTCTTGTCCCAGAGAGAATTCAAGCACTGGACTACAAGTAGATCTGGGAGGATATGCCTTTCCTCTCTGTAGCCCCCGAGTCCTTCCTCAGAATCTGGGAGTCAGCACTACAAAGGTAAGACTGTGGGCTAGAGGTGTAAATATGAGGGGGTGTGGAGAGCATAGCCTTTATTTTGGGCACAAGGGGCTATGATGGCTGTAGTTAAGAAGGGGATGAGAATCACTGTAACGGCACACACATTATGTAGACTGTGTGGATTCTATTCAGTAGAGGACATTTATTCGTGTTTTGTCTTATTGACTTATTTATTTGTTACAGCAAGGCACACCTGTTGTTGCTCTCATTTTGCAGATGGGATAGCTGGATGTGGGACATTCGTATAGCTTCCCTGAAGTCCCACAGCTTCTGAGTAGTTGTCAATGTGATTCACATCTAGGTGTTTTGAGTCTTGCAGCCTTATTTTTCCATACCACACGATGTAGCATGAAAACCTAGACATTTCTGCTCTGCTGTATAACAGAGGGGAACCCATCTCCTATATAGGTGCCCATCAGGGTCTGACGAGCACCATTCAGCGGCGGGTAGAGAGAGATCCATGCCTTCCACGAAGGTAGGGCGTGTGCAGAGAGTGGGCGGCTAGATCCGAAGAGCCTGGATGACTCATTGTAGGTGGATGGATGGTGGTGAGGGACGAGTAAGGCAGGTGTGCAGTATGAAAGACGAGCTATGGAGTGTGCCACATCCGGTAACTATGATCCAGCAGCTTGAGGCTGTCTCCTCTAGCAGGACTACGGCGTAGCTGTCCTTAGTTTGCTGTGTGCACGTCTGCCATTTAAAAGGACCGAGGAAAGTACCTGGAAGTAAATCCTGGAGATGAGGGGTGCTCCAGCTCTGCACTCCTCAATCAACAAACCACTGGGAGGACAGCCTGCTAGGTGCTGGAAGGGCCACAAGCGCCAAAGCTAAAGGCCTGTCCTTGCTGAGGCTTGGGGCGCTGACTCGGTGAATTACCTTGTAGTCTGTTCCTCTCTGCACTTTTACGTAAGAGGACCTAATGTTGGCCTGGTTGGCTCACAACCTTTGCTTTCTCAAAGGTTTCATTGTCCTCTGTTCCTAAGGCACAGGGCTGGTCTGCTGAGACCCTGGCTCCCTGGCTCTAGCGGGAGGGCTGGCATCTTGTTACCAAGCAAGGTAGACAAACACAGTCTTCTGCTATGATTACGTCTCCAAGGGCAATCCTGGAAAGCTGCTGTTATTACGGCCATAAACCTTTGATGAGTATCTGCTAAAGGCTTATTTTACTCTGGGACTGTCTGAAGACAGATGAAGACTTGACTGTCACACACCATTCATAAGACACGAGTCTTCTCTGGATGTGTATTGGCAGCATTTCCTCTATACCAGGAATCAGAGAGAGAGAGAGAGAGAGAGAGAGAGAGAGAGAGAGAGAGAGAGAGAGAGAGAGAGAGAGAGAGAGAGAGAGAGAGAGAGAGAGAGAGGAGAGGAGGCTCCAAACAAACCAGTGAGCCCAATTAGAGAGTTGAGTGCTTACTTTGGATCTGATTGTGGTCTGAACATGGGAGGCAGAGGGGAATGAAGCTCACTTCCTGTCCCCAGGAGCCCAAAGCAGTGGGATGATCTCTGAGAAAGTCTTTGGAAATCATAATGAAGTCTGCCTGAGTGAAAGATGGTCCCTCGTCTTTTAGCTAAAAGAAACATCAATGAATTCTGAGGATGAGGGACAATTTGACATAGAAATTGGCTTAGGGATTTTACACGTTGACTCTGTCATACACTGGTCACACCCTGAGACTCAGAATTAAAGACATTATCAGACTCCATCTCTGAAGGTTGATTTGAGAGCTAAAGTGCACGCAGCGCTTAGCTCTGTGGCTATCCCGTAACAGATATGTAATAAATGTGAATTTTTAGTACATCACAATTATCAGTTCTTCTCATTAACAACTCCAGTATGGGTGCTGAAAAACTGCACTCTCTTGTGGAAATCTCCCAAGAATTCTGTGGAATAATCCTGCTCTGTCTGAATGTGGTATCACAAGGTACATGTGCTAATAATAATGGACACTGGAAAGGTAGCTGGTCCAACTTGAGATACGTCTCAAGTATGAAAGAAATCCACATGCAACTCGAGGGCTTAGTGAAAAAAAAACACAGATTTTTTTTATGTTGGTTGTATTTTGCAAGAAAAAGAAGCTTTTTAAATGCACCAAGTTAAATTCACAGTATTGTTAAAATTATTTTTACTTGTTTAGCTTTATTTAAGATGGCTGCTGAAAAGATTACAAGTACACGTGTGACTTGCATTGCGTTTTGTTCAGATGATCTTACTGATTAACCATTAGTAGTGATCTGATAGTAAGTACTCCATTTTCAAGAGGGAGCACAATGAGGTCTAGTCAGGTGGAGTTGCTGGTCCAACTGGGTGTCAGATTAGGGGGTGTGGCTAGTTTGTCTTTAAAGGCTGTGTTTTCTCTCGTGCCTCCTGCTAAGCACCAGTGAACACAACACGAGAGTCAGAGAGCCCTGGGAGACCGTCCAGAAATTTCCAGTAGAGCAAGTCCTGCAAGTCATGCCCGAGTGCACTAATAGCTTCTCATGAGTCATGGACTCACTCTAGCCCTGTTTGCTCTCTGACAGCGTTGCTGCGATGCCGGCTCATTAGGAGGAAAGATAAAAACAAAAGCACGCACGCCACCTTGTGGAGACTGTATTCCCAGAGCCCCTCCACCCTTAGCTTGCAGGCTTTACGGGTGTAGTGAGGTCCCTTACAGCCCCACCTCCCAGTCCCCGCCTCCCTCCCGGTGAGCACTTAAACTGTTGTTTCCTTGCTGGGAGAAAGAGAACTAGAAGCTGAGAAGGCTCCTGCTCGGGCTGGACCAGCAAGGGCAAAAGACAAACCTTGTGTGTCTGCAAGGTCAGGCAGAGCTCTGGATAGGGCCCAGGTCTCACCAGATGGCACACTTGGATCTTAGTCCGCTTGATGCAAATGGGGGTTGAGTTTTGCCGTCTCAACAAGTGTGCTGCTGGGGTAAAGCAGGCAACCCTGTCTCCCGATGTAGGGGTGGGGTTAGCGGTCCATCCGCTCTCTTGGCCATTTTCTTATTGCTGTCTGTATCGGTCCACATTTCCAGTGCAATAGTGGTCCTAGGGTTCTGGCTGGAGCAAGATGACTTCACCCCGGGGCCATTGAAATAATATGTAGTCAGCATTTCCAAGTTCTTGGATTTTTTTTTTGTACTTCTGTAAAAGCTCTGGGTGTTTTCAGCCAGCATCTCTGAATTGCTCATTTTTTGGAATTTTGATAGGAGTCGGCAGAAAAGCAACAAATTCGGTATGTCCAGGTACAAGGTCAGCACGGAACATGGGAACCTGGGGTAGCCTGGGTGTGGCGGCCCCTCCCACCTGCCTTAGGGAACAGGCATCAAAGTGACAAGAACAGATGGCAGTGTGTCTTTCGGGGATCATAGAGAGGAGGGTGGCATCATGGCCTGGCCTCTCTCACGGTTGAGTAAAGGGAGGTAGAGGAGTTAGCCTGCCAGGCAGTGCGGTGGCCGGAGGGACATAGACCGGGCATCTGAGGTCAGATTCCAGCCATGGCCTTGACCGGCTCTGGCTCCGGCTCCCTCTGCTGAGGAAAGAAGCCAGTGACAGGCAGGCAGATATGACTGTTTCCGGTGCTCTGCGTGGTTGTTAAGGTTAGTGGGGGAGGGAGCCACCTTCCCCCAACACCCTTGCACAACAGCAAACGAGATCCCGATAGGCTCAGAGGCAGCTGGGAAGGGTGGGGTGACCTGGCAGGCCGGCTTAGGAGGCACAGACGGAGGATCAGAGGGGGGCATTCTTAAAGGTTGGGACCCCTAAGCTTTGAGTCTCTTAGCATCTCAGGTGATGTTGACGGGCTAAGCACCCTCACTGGCTTCTTTCCTCAGCAGAGGGAGCGGGAGCTGGAATCTGACCTCAGAGTGCCCGGTCTATGTCCTTCAGCAGGCTAACTTCTCTACCTCCTTTACTCAACCGTGAGAGAGGCCAGGCAGACCATGATGCCGCCATCCTCTCTAGGACCCCCTGTTCCCTAAGGCAGGTGGGAAGGGCCGCCACACCCAGGCTACCCCAGGTTCCCATGTTCCGTGCTGACCTTGTACCTGGACATACCGAATTTGTTGCTTTTCTGCCGACTCCTATCAAAATTCCAAAAAATGAGCAATTCAGAGATGCTGGCTGAAAACACCCAGAGCTTTTACAGAAGTACAGAAAGAAAAAAGAAAGAAAGAAAGAAAGAAAGAAAGAAAGGAAAGAACTTGGAAATGCCGACTACCTGTTATTTCAGGGACTCTCCAGTGAACCCATCAAGGGTAGTAAGGAAAACAGAACAGAGAATTTGACCCTTCCCCTTTGACCTTTATCTCACTTCTCCCAGTCTGTCTTGGGAAGTTACAGACATATGCAAAGATCCATTTCTCTAGCCTTGTCTCAAATATGATAGTTTTTTCCCTTAAAGTTACTCCTTCCTCCCACCTACCTTCCTAAAATTTTTCCTGCCTCAATCCCAGATGCTCCTTTGAGCCCCTCCCTACCTGTAGAAAGGCTCCAGTCCTCTGGAAAAACACTGCCCCCCCCCTTGCTGGACCGGTACATTTCCTGCCCTGATGAGTCACAAGCATCTTCCACGCTGAGCGCCGGCTCCCCCATTCTGAGCGCTCTTTTGCTTCTGGGCCCTAAATACTCAGACTCAGCTTGAGCCATAGGTGCTCTGCTGCCAACACAGGCTCTGAGGTCCGAGGCCCAAGCGTTGCGTTTGTTTTCTAACTAGCAACTTCCCCCTCTGCGTGGGCGGTGGAGCTGAGATTTGAGCTCAGATTCCTGACCACGAGGAGAGTCTAACTGTAAGTCACGCTTGCCTTCTTGGCTTCTCACTGAGGAGTCATAAGCCGTGTTTCCTCTCTGGAGCGGGCTTCGTCCACAAGTGGCTTTTCTAAACGGAGCACAGAGCTGGGGTGTCTGGGTGGCCATGAGCAGCGCCCTCTCCCTGTCTCCGCGGGGCTCACCCTCACCCTTGCAGGGCATGCTCTTCCTCCACGGGAGCCCACTGAGGTCTCACGGCAACCTGAAGCCTTCCAACTGCCTGGTCGACGGCCGCATGCAAGTGAAGCTGTCGGGATTTGGGCTGTGGGAGTTCAAGCACGGCTGTACACACAGGATCTACAACCAGGAGACCACCGACCATTCAGGTAGCCACCGCCACCGGCGGATCTTAGACCCAGCTGCTGCAGGCTAAACAGTCAAAGGTTTTGTTTCCCATTTTTTTTTTTTTTTTTTGCCTCATGATGCTGCCTTGAAGGGGGCTCCTGAGGGTCGTTTTTTCCCCCTTTCCAGATGATAAAGGGAAGTTGTTCAGTTCATCCATGGAGAGTGAGAAAAGAAACCAACATAGGGGTGGCATGAACCTGTGGTGTAAGGTTTGGATTAGGAGACTTGGTTTTCGTCTCACCTTAACTGGGTTACTGAAGCCACCAATGCTCTTCTCTGTTTTCTTCTCTAATCCTTCCCATTTTTCAGTCCATGTTCTCAGTGTAGGTGATGAGATCTGCCAGGTTGCCCTAGCTAAGGTCACCATTGCTGTGCTGAAACAGCACAACCAAAAGCAACTTGGGGAGGAAAGGGTTTATTTGATTTTTAAAAAATGTTTATTTATTATGCATACAGTGTTCTGCCAGAAGAGGGCACCAGATCTCATTACAGATGGCCGTGAGCCACCCATGTGGGTGCTGGGAATTGAACTCAGGACCTCTGGAAGAGCAGCCAGTGCTCTTAACCTTAGAGCCATCTCTCCAGTCTGGGTTTATTTAGCTTATGCTTCTACTTCGCTGTTGTTATCAAGGGAAGTCAGGTCAGGAACTCAAACAGTGCCGGAGCCTGGAGGCAGGAGCTGATGCCAAAGCCATGGTTTGCTCAACCTTCTTTCTTATAGAACCCAGGGCAGTCAGCCCAGGGATGACCTCACCCACAACAGACTGGGTCCTCTGCCTTCAATGCTAATTAAGACAATGCCCTACAGCCAAATCTTACAGAGGCATTTTCTCAATCGAGGCTCCCTCCTCTCGGATGACTCTAGTAAGCTGTGTCCAGTTGACATAAAACTAGCCATCATACAGGCTGTGTGGTGATAGATTACTTATGATTTAATAAAGATTACCTGAAGTAGCAGAAAGCAAGAACAGCCACACTAGTTAGCTGTAGAAGCTACGGCAAGTGCACACAGCTTTCATCCCAGGACTCAGGAGACAGGCAGATGGAGCTCTCTGAGTTCAAGGCCACCCTGGCCTGCACAAGAGTGAAGAGTATCAGAGATCATGTCTTTGATCCCAGTAGGTGGGATCACACGCCTTTAATCCCAGCACTAGGGAGGCGGAGACAGGAGGATACGGCTGGGTAGAGAAGGGATATAAGGAGGAGCAGACAGGAACTCAGAGCTTTTGCCTCTGCGGATTTGAGGAGACAGGACTGCCATTTCAGCTGGGCAGAGGTAAGAGCTACTTAGCTTGCTTGCTTTGCTTCTGTGGTCTTCAGACAATCTTTATTAAATCATAAGTAATATGTCACCACAGGCTGTTTAAAGATAACTGAGTCCAGTGGTGAGCTAGCTGTCTGCTAGGCCAGACATGACTGGAGTTTTTTTCTTTTCTTTTTTTTTTTTTTTTTTTGCTTTTATGAGACAGAGTTTCTCTGTATTATTTTGGAGGCTGTCGGTCCAGCCCGGCCTCGAACTCACAGAGATCTACCTGCCTCTGCCTCCCGAGTGCTGGGATTAAAGGCATGCACCACCACCGCCCAGCTGGAGTTTTTTTCTGACATGACTCCTTTTCACTCAAATTTTTATGTGACTTCAGGTGTCTAGCTATATACAGCAGGCACACGAATGAAACATTTGCTGACTTAAAAATCATATCCAGTTTATTTTAAACAGTTATATGATTTACACGCAAGTTTATCATTTAATAAATGGAAACAATCTATTGTATCATGGTACTGGGTTAACTATGATTAACTTATTTTCTCCGTGGTCTTTCATATGGATGTTGCAATCTTCCCCAGGCGAGGCACTCATCGGGTCAGCCTCTTAGGATGCTCTGTCCTCCTACAGCTTCTGCAGCATGGAAAGAATTAGGTATAGCTTTACCTCAAGATGGCGCCCCACTGTCTTGCAGAACTCTACTGGACAGCCCCAGAGCTGTTGCGGCTCCAGGAGCTGCCCTGGCCTGGCACCCCACAAGGAGATGTTTACAGCTTTGCCGTTCTCATGAGGGACTTGATCCACCAGCAGGCCCATGGGCCCTTTGATGACCTTGAGGAGGCTCCTGAGGGTAAAGCTGGAGTATGCTGCTCCTGGGAAAGGGGATGAGGGGCTTGTGTGTGGGGAGGGGTGGAGGGATGTGGTAGGAGGGAAATAAGAGACGCTGAGGGCGATGATAAATCAGAGTGTAGCACACACTCGTGCGCACGTGCACACACACTGCACACACACATACACACTCACACCCACACCCTCTCACACTCCGCAAAAGAACGACAACAAAAAAAGATTGGTCCTTACGCTATCATCCCAGGCAATGACCTTCAAAGCCTGACGTTTCTCTGTGTGTAAGCAGTTTCTTTGAGGCCAGAGCCCAGTTTCTAATTAGTAGCTAAATGAAGCTATCTCAAAATGAGGGTTAGTCCCAAGAGCAGTAGCTCAAGATCCAGCCAGGCACTCCTGAATTTGGAACCAAGCTGAGGCACACATGTCACTGGCCGTGTCCAAGTGGAGGCCGCCTTCAGTGCCAGAGGTCCACTCCCATCTGCTCTTGGTGCTGGGGTCTGAGTGAGCCATGAGAAAACTCTGTGACGGTCACAGAGTTCCTCACCGTAACAACTTCCGGCTAGTCACACGGGCCCGTGTCTTCACAGTCCTGTGCTCGGGTCACAGACAAATCGCCATCCATTTGCTTCTCATGCCTCCCCACAAATAAGCCTGGTCTCTTGTGCATAGCAGCCCAGTGGTTCTCACAGTCCACTGCGCGCTGGAATAACCTAGAAGCTTGCTAAAACAGAGTTGCTGCTCTCCCTGTGCTGGCCCAGGTTTCTGGCTCAGTAGGTCTGGAGTGAGGCCCGAGACTGTGCACCTGCATCGGCGTCCCTGATAAGGGACATTTGAGAAGAGTAGGTCTTGGTCCTCCTTGTCTTTGGACCAGCAGCAAGAGTAGCACCTGGAAACCCAATAAGCGCTGTTTTGAACCACTCTTCAAACCTGTTCTGGAAATACGGAAACAGGTCCAGAAGTATTTACTCAACCTCTTTGCCTGGGGCGAGTGTCCTGCCTATTTGCCCAAGACAAAGAATGACTGCTTCAAAGTAGCTAATGCACTGTAGAAATGATGGAATGGGAACAGGAGGTTGTGTGTTGCTAGGTAACAAGCCCACATCCCACAGTGCTCTCGGGCTTGGCTACCATCTGATGGTCTCTGGAGGAAGTCCTCAGAGTTAAATTCAGGGCAGCAGACAGCACACACTGTCTTTCATCTTGGCTCCTCAGGCCGTTGCTGTCCCTCAGGTTTGAGTTTTACTTTGGGATATAAAACATAATTGATTAAAGTCCTTATTTTCTTTTTCTTTTCCCAGAGACATGGTTTCTCTGTGTTCCAGATGTGTTGGAACTCAGTTTGTAGACCAAGCTGTCCTTGAACTCACAGAGATCTGCCTGCCTCTTGCCTTCCGAGTGCTGGTATTAAAGGTGTGCACCACCATCACCCAGCTTAAAGTACATTTTTAAGATATTGTTTCAGGATATATTTTAGGTTTTAAAATGTAGACTCACATACAATTTTGTTTTGATTTGGTGTTTGAGACAGAGTCTTATTATGCTACTCTGGCTGGCCTGGAATTCACAGACTGGCTTCCAACTTGAAGTGATCCCCCTGCTTCAGTGTCCTCAGTGCTGGGATTTTAAGTGTGCGCACCACCAATCCAGCCACACGCAGTTTGTAACCCATATTTTGTGTTACATTAGGCCATGCTTTATTCAGATTGTTCCAGTTTCCTCTGTCACATCATTCCATCTTGGATGCCATGCTGAGTTTAGATGCCGGTTTATGCACCATTAGCCCTTCTCCCCCTTTATGACCTTGAAGTTTCTGAGGAGTACTGATCAGATTTGACTTTTGAAATGTGTGTGATCTGTGCGTATACCTCTGTGTGCTTCCCTGTGTATCAGTGTACATGTATACAGGTGTACATGTATACAGGTGTACATGTATGCGTACAAGGGCATATGCACGTGTGTGCCTGTATGGAAGCCGAGGTTACCGTCTGTAGCTAGTCTGAGGTTAGATGAAGAGCTCTGCAGTCTGCAGTCACTCTGGGGACAGGATCGCCCCACTTTGGTCCTGGCCTTGGTAGAGGTAAGAACTCTCTTAGTGGTTGACTGCTTTGCTTTTCTGATCTTCAGTTTGGACCCCAATATCTTCCTCTGTTTTTTATTTTTTGGCTGTGAGCATAGCCTGTAATGGCAGAGCCATCTCTCCAGCCCTGTCTCTGGGTTTTTATGGTTCATGCTACATTACATATTAAGGCCGGGTCTCTCACTGAATCCAGAGCTTGCCTTCTGGCTATGCAGGCTAGCCAGCCACTACTTTTCAAGTGCTGGAATTCTAGGCAGGCCACCACACCCACCTGGCATTTACAGAGATCCTAGGATTCAAACCCCAGTCCTTCTTGTATGGCAAGGGCTTTGCCCAGGGAGCCCTCTCTCCATGTGCTGGTCAGGCGTTGTAGAGATCACTTCTCACTTGGAACATCTGATGTTTTCTTTCTCTCATGGCTATTCTGGGGTTATATGTGTTGGCCAGGGAAGCTTGTTGGTGTACATTGTCGTTTTTTGTAACACTGCAAATTCTTAATGATGTAACCATGAACACAGCTATCAAAGTTGATGCTGACTTTGGTTACCTGAATGAGATAGTACTGTTGATATCCACATTGTAGAGTTCTTGATTTCATTCATCCATACTGGAAGGAACTCACTGTGTGTAGGATGTATTAAATCAGGAATTACTATAGATATTGTACACAATTCTCTGTAGTGAACTGATCTACTTGTTTCCATTTTGTTTCTTCAATTGTTAGTATCTATCAGTACAGCTCATGGAAACTTCCTGCTTAATGTTGTGGCTTACATGGTCCCATTTCTGGCTGTCCAGTTTCACTTGGTGGCATGGCCTCTTGGACACATGACTACTATTGTGTTTCCTTTCACTGTTGGGTACTTTCCTACTTCCTGGTACAAAAGATTGTCTAGGTTTGTCTTTGGCACCCCCCCACTCAGCATTACCCCCCTCAATCCTGCACTCCCCCCGCCCCAGTGCTCAGTGCTACAATCCCCCACTCACTGTGGGAATGCAGATCACTCTCCAGGCAGCCCTGGCTGCTTTCTGCAGATGGTGCTACCTGGACAGCGAGGATGTGCTTTGTTCCTGGAGTACGGCTGCTTCCAGCCCCTCTTCAGTAAATTGGGAATGTAGACGTGTATCGTGACCCCATATGGGCACACGTAAGTCACAGGCACACATCTGCATCTATGTTAAGCTAAGCATGAGTTCACAATGATGGGGCCAGCTTGACCTCACCACCACCGTGCTTTGCTCCAGCGGCCATCGCTTCTCCCGTAGCCTCCGTCTCCAGCAGTGTGAAAATGGCTCCTGCGGTCCTGCAGACCTGTTGTCTGTCTTACCTGCTGTCAGCTACAATACAGGCGTAAAGCAGCTTAAACTCAGTAACTGGGCCTTCCAAGAGGCAACCAGGACATAGCTGCGTGTGGAAGAATTGTGAATAGCTCTCTTTTTCTTCTTGTTTTATTTCAGACTTCATGCTGGTCTGCGCCTTCCCTCCTCCCTTCCGCAAAGACACACACACACACACACACACACACACACACACACACACACACACACACACACAGCACAGTCAAACCCTTTCCTGATGGCCTGGGTACCATGTCCAGCTTCTCCCATGTCCTGGTTGGCAATTTTAAAAGGCAATGTTTCTGTGCCTTAAACCTAACTGTGCTATAAACTTCCTTAGGCGTTTCCAAATATCAAATGCCCATGTGACCACCACCATCATAATATCAAACAGAACATGTCCCTCTCCCCACTTTCCTCCCCGTTTACCTACTCAACCCTCCCCAAAACTCTCAGCCACCTTCAGACTGTAATTTTGCTTTTCTAGACTTCATTAAGAAGTCACGCACATACACACTCCTTTCACACCAGCTGCTTTTACTTAGCTGTGTGCGTTCAGTGTTCATTTATGCCGTTGCTGCATAAATTATTTCCGTATCAAAATATCTATGCGTTACTCTCAGGATATTTCCTTTTTAAGGGGGGGGGCGTGAATGCGATCCCTAAGCCAACGTTGGTGGAAGCCAATGAGACAGCAGCATTTATTCATTAGAATCACGTTCACGAAGCATGGGACACAGAATTGCATGGAGCTCGCTTTGGCAAGCTGAGCACCAAATGCCTCCCCATCTGGAAGGTGACCCAGAGAAGCTCTGCTTTCAAAAGCCTCTGTTTGGAAGCCGACAGGTCAGGGGTTTTCTATATTTCCATTGGAGTGTTCAATTTTCTAGCAGGATCTAGACCATCTATGCACGCAAGTCTAGATTGTCCTGGAATTCAAACATTGTTGTTGTTTATTTTCAGCTTTTTCTTTTTCTTTCAAAATTGGCGGGTACCATCAGCATTTAGACAGGCAGGTGTTGAGCGGCAAAGCTACGTAGCTTGTTTCTCCAAGTCCCAAATGGATTTCAGAAATCATCAGCCGCATCAAAGACCCCAGGGGACCAGCTCCGCTTCGACCAACCCTGCTGGGGGAGAAAGGAGACGAAAGGATTGCCCTCCTGGTGAGGGCCTGCTGGGATGAGTCTCCAGAGCAAAGGCCAACCTTCCCTGCCGTCAAGAAGGCCTTGCAAGAAGTCAGTCCCAGGGGGTAAGCTCACCGTGCAACAGGTTCTTCCTTCTTGTCTTTCAGCAGGGAAGTGAAAAGGTTCACGGCTCTTCTCTCTTTCCTCCCCTCTCCTCCCAACACTCCCCTTCTATTCATTTCCTTTGTTTCCCCCTCCTCTCCTCCTCCTCCTCTCCCGTCTCTCTTGTCCCTCTTCCCTTTTGCCCCCTCCCGCCCTGTCATCATGTATCCACTTAACGTCCACCACACGCAAACTGTGTTCTATATGCTGGTTAAAGCGGAGTGGGTGAGTCTTCATTTACTTTGTGACCATGGATCAGACAATAAGGTCACTGCCCACCGGGCCCATTCAGACATCTCTAGTCAGTTAAGGCTCTGGTTCCCAGGACATTTTGACACTGTCTTTCTATGCTTTTCAATGGTTATTCCAAGGATCATAACTAAAATTTGGGGTTGAATTACGGGATAAAAATCACTTACCCACTTTAGACGATCACTCATTTGTTTTATTCTACAGAGCTGAGGATCGAACCCAGGGCCTTGTGTGTGCTAGGAAAGGGAACACCACGGAGCTAACCCCCATCCTCATAGGTGACAACTGACTTTGGGTTAAGATCGCCTCTCAAATATGCTTTCTCAATAGCAGCAGCTTCCTACATATTAGGTTGTTAGAATAATTTCTAAAGAAGTATTTATGTGGATGTGTGTATGCCTTCTTAAGTTTATGTGAGCCATGGACTTAAGTGTCCTTGGAAGCTGGAGTTGCTGTCCAATTCCCTGGAACGGGAGTTACAGGCAGCTGTGAGTTGCCCTGTGGGGCCTGGGAGCCAGACCTGGGTTCTCTGAAAGAGCAGAAAGTGCTATTAACTACTGAGCCATCTCTCCAGCCCATGATATCTCCTTCCTTCCTTCCTTCCTTCCTTCCTTCCTTCCTTCCTTCCTTCCTTCCTTCCTTTCTCCTTCCTCCCTCCCTCCCTCCTCCCTCCCTCCCTCCTCCCTCCCTCCCTCCTCCCTCCCTCCCTCTCTCTTTCTCTTTCTTTCTTTGAGACAAGTTCTTACTCACCACATAGATCAAGCTGATCTTGAACTCACAGAAGCTTATCTTCATTTGCCTCCTCAGTTGGGATTAAAGATGTATGCTACCACTTTCTGGCCTGATGGTACAATTTTTAATAGAGTGAATGTTTAATTTCCCAGAGGTATCTTGAGGAAGCTGAGAGAGCCCTGTCCTGAAAGTGTCTACTTCTGACTTGCCCATTTAATGTGGCATTCTTAATATAACAACCTGTGTCCTTCTCCAGGCTACATTTTTAATTTATGATTTTATATTATTTTAATTGCTACATAGAAATATTGATACTAATTACATTAACCAAATAAAGTACAGTGTTTCAAAATACGTATTCTTTGTCTTATGGTCCCAACATTAAGACAGACTTATTTCCTACCTGCGTCTTAGTCTTCCCCTCTGGACGGCACGGGATGCGGGTGACCCCTTAGGGGCATTCTGAGATGGAATGCAGACAGGGTCCATGTTGAGCAATCCGAGAAATGCCCCATTCTGCAATCTGTACTTTTTTGCTCCGTTCTAACTGTGGCACGGGGCATGCTGGGAAGTGAAGGGGAGCCACCAAAGGCCACCGTTGATGGTTGGCTGGCCGCAAGTCAGACCCCTCAGCATCTTACACACATTAGCTCTGGAGTCCCCAGGAAGCAATTGGAAGGTGGTGCAGTTTTTCAGATGAGTAAACCAAGGCTCAGAGAAATAAAAGGTGCCGCTTAGCTTAGGGCCAGGCGCGGCACAGTCTTATTTGCTGCTCTTTTGAGTTCACTGCTGTTTCGGCCAGTAGCACACCTTAAGGACAAGAAGTGTTTTCCTGGGTCATGCGTTGAGGAGTTGTGTCTCTGCTGCGATCCTGTGGTTCCTGGAAGAGGATGCTAACATTTGCGTTTTTTTTTAAAGCTGTGTAAGCCTCTTGGATAGCATGATGGGCAAGCTAGAAATGTACGCCAGTCACCTGGAGGAAGTGGTGGACGAGCGGACCCACCAGCTGGCGACAGAGAAGAGGAAGGTGGAGAAACTCCTGTCCACCATGTTGCCCAGGTATCCGGGAGCAGTGGTGGTCAGGCAGAAAGACAACCCGAGGGAGAAGAAACTTTCTGCCCTAGCAGCTCCACTGGAGGAGGAATATTTCCATCGTTCTTTTTCTAAAAGAATATCAAGCTCTGTGAAAGGGGACCAAACGGGAGAAGTGCTGGGTTGTGGGGGGAAGGGAGGGAGGGAGGGAGAGAGGGAGAGCTGTGCATGTGTGCAAAAGTTGGCAAATTGGCCCACCTTGCAAATGAAAATGCAGGCAAACCAACCCAATCCACAGGAATGGAAGATACAGTGTAGTTTATGTGGAAGGTAGTGAATGCAGCAACAGGATACAGCCACTAGATGGCAGTCTGGCTTTGTGCCTAGCCCTTAAGCATCGGCAATGCCATTGCTTGCATGTGCTCTGAAATCTTTGCTCAGTTCAAAAAGTGCCTGTAACATCAACATTCAAAAAATCACTTCGACTTTGGCTCTTTTTCCACTTGTGCATTCTGTGAACACTAGAAAAAATCATTTGCTATTAAAATTCTCGTACATTGGAATGTCAACCAAAAAGTGGGAGGGGGAATACTTACTTTGAGATAGTGTTTCAATATGTAACCCAGGCTGCCTTGGAACTCACTCTGTAGACCAGGCTGGCCTCGAATTCACAGAGATCCGTCTGCCTCTGCCTCCCGAGTCCTGGTATTAGAGGCGTGCACCACCATATCTGTCTAGAGCAGTGGTTTCGAACCTGTGGGTTGTAACCCCCTTGGCAAGCCTCTATCTTCAAAAATATTTACATTATTATTCATATCAGTTATGAAGTAGCAAAGAAAATGATTGCATGGTTGTGGGTCGCCACGACATAAGGGTCGTCGTAGCTTTAGGAAGGTTGAGAACCGCTGCTCTAGAGCATAGGGAGTTTGAGTGCGCTCATCTGCACACCAAGTCTTTACCGCCAAACCCCACATGCAATAGGAATAAGATGTTTTCAGGGAGAAAATGTCTTTAATGAAGTCATTTATGTGACCTGTCCCCGATCTCCACCCTCTCCTGCAATTTACAGCCTCCACTTAAATTACCTCTCTAGAGGAAATGCAAGTGAAAAAATGCATGCCAGGAGAAGCTCTCTATGAAGAGCTTACTTAATTATTCTTTGCCAATGAAAAATTGGGAGTTCGATACCGGTGCATGAACCTGAATGATCAGAGAATCAGCATGGCAGCCACCAGTGATGTTCTGTCTCTTCTGTTGCTCCGCCCAAAGGGCGGATTCTCTCTCAGCCCCGCCTTACTACTTCCTGTCTCCTATCTGTCCTCAGTCCTCTAAAACCTCTGTGGCTAATTTTAATTTTGATCAGCTAGTGGCTAGCTCTATCCTCTGACTCCAGGCAAGCTTTAGTGTCAGGATATGATCAAAATATCGTACGACACCTCTAGATGGTGAATTTAATAAGTAAAATCCTAGCCCGCCAAAGCCAGAGGAAGGGTCGCCTTTGCCAAGAGCCGTGGAGGCGGAACCAAGCGTGAGTTGGCTCAGAGCTGTCCTTTCTGTGATTACAGCTTCGTTGGAGAGCAGCTCATAGCTGGAAAGTCGGTAGAGCCAGAGCATTTTGAGTCCGTCACCATCTTTTTCTCTGACATCGTGGGATTCACAAAACTGTGCTCTCTCAGCTCCCCCTTGCAAGTGGTGAAGCTACTCAACGACTTGTACAGCGTGTTCGATCACACAATACAAAGCCATGATGTGTACAAGGTGAGCCGTGACGTATGCAAATGGACTCCTATCCACTGTCTCCGGGCTGACTGACTCAATCTCAGTTCACGGCAACAGAAACTCCATGTTTCACTTCTGTTTGTCTTCTCCGGAAGGGGCCTGATTAGTCCCAGATGTACAAACTTGTCCAGAGTCACCATGTGGGGACAGCAGATGACTCGGTCACTAAAGTCTTGCAAGCTGGAAGACTTGAATTTGATCTCCAGAACCCATGTAAAAATAAACAGGGCTTCATGGTACAAAGTTCTCAGTGCTGGGGAGACAGAGCCAGGTAGATTGCTGGGATTCACTGGTCAACCGTCTTAATTGGTGTCTTCTAGGCCAGTGAGAGACCTTGTCTCAAACCAAGGTGGGCAGTGCCTGAGGAATAATTGAGGCTTTTTCTGGCTGCCATCTACGTGAACATATCCCCCCCTCGCCATAGCTACCAACACTGTCTGTCTCCACCCATTATTTTAATCTCACAGTGAACATGTTTGTAAAGAGGCATTGTCTATCACGAAACCCGTGTCCTTCAGATCCCGGGAAGCTTATAGCTGCTCCCTTTGCGTCCTCTGCGAATCGCACTTCTGTGTTGGCACGACCCTTAGCAATCCAGGGTGAAGACAGACTCTTCAAATGTAGACCGTCGGGCTGAGGCTCAAGGGGCGATGACAGCTATGGCCTGCATGGTGCTGCTCAAGGGAACACATAAACATGCCCCCCCCGCCCCCCGGAGCGAGAAAGGAGGCTTCAGGGTTGTCAGGTCTAGAGACGCAAGCAGAGGCTGCAGGGAGGAGGGATGGTCTGTGGAGGGACCAGGGCAAGAGCAGACCCCGGGAGAGACGCTAGACCGAGGTGGAGCGGAGATCAGTGAGAGTTGGGCTTTGGAGTGTGGGGCCTCAGGAGAGGGACTGGGAAGAGTCGGGGTCTTGTTGCCTAACCCCGTCTCCTAATTTATCCACGCCTCCCTGAAACTAAGAACACTTCGATGTGTCACTTGCAGGTTGAAACCATCGGAGATGCGTACATGGTGGCCAGTGGGGTACCCATTCGCAACGGAGCCCAGCATGCAGATGAGATCGCCACCATGGCCATGCGTTTGCTCTGCGCCACCACGCACTTCCGGATCGGTCACATGCCTGAGGAGAGACTCAAGCTCCGGATAGGCCTCCACACAGGTGGACAGAGCTGATGGCAGGTGGCGGGATGGGCGTCTGCATGGCCGCAGGTGGCTCTGGGCTTGGGTCCTGTGTCTGTGGCTTCTAGGAACACAGTTGTTAGATGGCTACGGTGCCAGGGACCACAGAATGCGCACGTGTTTCCAGTTAGTTGGACTGATTCCTGAGACTAAGGATACACAGAAATTCAGATGTTTTAATAGTAATAATAATAATAATAATAAAAGCAAACGGGGCTGGCGGAGTGTGGGAGCCACACTGGGCTGCACTGCTTTGATACGTTCTCTTCTTGTCAGACTCATGGGCTTGTGACTGACTGGCAGATGAGTGAGCCCTATTTGGTTCAATACTCTTTGATCGCTTTTTTGGAAACAAACAAACAAACAATGAGGGAGTCTTGCAGCTGGGAATCACAGCTGAAGTTGGGCATAAATTTGTGATCTTGCCTCAACCTCCCTTGAAAGCAGACACTTGTCTTGACACCCCTTTGAGCTAATGCTTCATGTTTTCCTTTTGCCTGAGTCCTCCCCATCCCCCCCAATTATGTAGCCGTGGTCCTTCTATCGGACCAAAAGCAAACCTGATCTCCAGCCAGAATTAATTCCTCAAGTTCATGCTACCGTGGGCTTTGCCTAATACCCGCGTTGTTGGCATCATATTGTTGTGGGATCCCGCCTAAGTCCTATTGCCGCCTTAGCCCCCAAATAACACACAAGACACTGTATTAATTATGAAGCTGTTGGGCGTTTGCTATGGTTTCTAATCGGCTAGCTCTGACTTAAATATTAATCCATAATTACTAACATATATATATATATATATATATATATTTTTTTTTTTTTGGTTTTTACGAGACAGGGTTTCTCCGTATTGTTTTGGAGGCTGTCGGTCCAGCCTGGCCTCGACTAACATATATTTTTATGAGGACTTATCTTTTGAAGGATGCAGCCTCATGCGTCTTCTTCCCATGATCCCATGGCTACTACTCTCCTCACTGCATTTCCCAGAATCCTCCTAGACTCCTAGTCCCACCTATCTTGCTTCCCTATTGGCCAACAGTGCTTTATTTACATGTACACATAAGGACTTCCCCAATCGCTGCAGTTCATGAACAACCTGCTTTTAAGGTTCTGTGGTTGATTTCTTTACAGGACATGGTGTGCATGTCCTGTAGATGCTTTGCAGGCACATCTCTACGATGCATATTGTCCAGTGTTGCTCCAAGAGGACGCTTAACATAAATACTCATTGAATCAACTTCCTCTGTGTGCTTGACGGCCTGTGTGGAGCCCAGCCTTGGGGAACACTGATAGTTAGACCCTTCCGTTGTCCCCTCCTTAGGTCCTGTGGTGGCCGGTGTGGTGGGAATCACCATGCCCAGATACTGTCTGTTTGGAGACACAGTGAACATGGCATCCAGAATGGAAAGCAGCAGCTTGCGTGGGTATCATTTGCACCGCTCTGCAAGCGCAGTACCCCGTCCCCTCCCCTCTTATCTCTAAGCAGTGGGTATTTTTAGAGACTCATTTGCATGTTGTCTCTTGTTTTCCGTCTGGAAGGCAAGATCATTATTCCCAGGAGACAACCTGAGCCACCAGCTGTGTAGACAGCATTTTTTCCTCCCTGTGTGCTCAGTGGAGCTACATAAACACATATGGTTCCCCCTCCCCTCCCTCTCTCCCTCCCTCCCTCTCTCTCTCTATGTGTGTATGTGTGTGTGTGTTGGGGACAGATGTCAGGTATTTTCTTTACCAGCGTCCACCTTATTTTGGGGGACAGGGTCTCTTACTGAAGCTGAAGTTCTCTGATTGGCTAAGTGGGTGGCCAGTGAGCTCTCAGAATTGACCCGTTTCTGCTCCCCGACACTGGGGTTATAGACATGCACAACACCCAGTTCCTATGTGGTGCTGGGGATCCAAACTCAGGTCCTCAAGCTTCACAGCAAGCACTTTATTTACCCTTTAGCCTGTCTCCCCACTCTTAACAGTCTACATATAATGAAAGCATATAATAACAAAGCACAAATTAGAAACCGTAGGACTAAACAGCAAATATTTTAGTTTTAACTACTTAATGCTGATGTAGTTCAAGAGTAGATTTAGAAACATGTAAACATATAGCAAGACCCTGTTCCAGTAAAACTTTATTTGCAAACACAAATAGTGAGCAGACTGCCCTGTGAGTAGTAATGTTCCCATCTCTGAAGTAGCGTATACTCCTGGCGGTGCAGAGGAAATCTATGCCTAGGACTCTAGGACACACCATATTTTTGTGTGTTTTCTAGTAATGTTATTGAACCGACTGTTACTTGAGATACATGATATATATATGTGTGTGTGTGTGTGTGTGTGTGTGTGTGTGTGTGCGCGCTATTTTTCAGTTGAAACATGGAAAAACACTCCTCAGTGGTTGACGTTTCAAAGAATTTAGATTCTGTCATTTTGAATGCGCTGGTTCCTCACAATATATAAACACACACACAGTTATTTCCTTGCCCAAGCTGATGATCCGACTTTAAAGCACAGATTTAGACCTGTTAGCTTGTGCGGGAAGGGTTAGAGTACGTGTGGAAGCTGGCTGCTTAGGCTGGCTCCCAAACCGTTTCTGCATGCACCTTTGGTTATGGCAACATTCTCAGGAGTATGTCTTCAGTTCATCTCAGGAAGCTTGAGAAACCCAGTGAGCCTCCAGTCACGGGGACTGTCAACTTGCAGAATGAGTCAGTTCTCTGTGTTGCTAAACCAAACACTAACAAGCACCCATCCGTATCCAGTGCCCGGGTGGTTGAGGGTCCCAACCTATGTGTCTGAGACATTGGGTGTTATTTGCACTTTACATTTATCTATCTGTTTCTATATGTACATATGTATGCATGTATGTATGATCTATCTATCTATCTATCTATCTATCTATCTATCTATCTATCTATCATCTGTCCATCATTGCCATCCACCTACACATACCCACCTATTTATTCAAATAGTTTCTTACTATTTACGATGTCGTTAAAGTTGGTCTTGAACTCCGGACCCCTGTCTCTGCTTCCCATGAGCTGGGATTATGATACTCAGCTCCGAGTTTTGTTTCACGAGAAGTTCTGGAGAACAGTGAATGAGAGAGTAAGGCTGGTCCCCTCTCCAAAGAAGCCCCACACCCCGACGACTCCTGTCACACGCCTCCAGTGACACGAGCTTAACTAGACAATGCCTGGTTTCTGGCAGCTCTCCGGATCCACGTTTCTCAGAGCACCGCAGAAGCTCTTCTCGCAGCAGGAGGGTACCATCTGCAAAAGAGGGGCACCATTTCTGTCAAGGTAAGGCCAGGCCGACTGTGTTCCACTTCCGCGGTTTGCGTCCTTGATGGACATGTTGAAGAACTGGGGGAGCGAATCTCTATACAGAGGAGTGAGGAGATCCTTGGGGATCTCTGGAGGCTTTTTGTAACTGCTGATGAGTCTGCCCCCTGAGGAGAAGGCTCAGACCCCTCAGCGGTCAGATGTGGATTTCCAGTAGAAAATGCCTTTCTTTGTCACTCCTGAGGGATGACTTTTCTGTCACCAAATAGTCTGTCAGCTTCCACTTGGACACTCCAGTGGAGTCCCTCAATAAAGCCACAGGGAACACAACCCTCTTTTGTAGGCGGAGATTCCCCATCTAGGCAGATGTTTCGAAAGAACCACTCTGAGGCTTAAATTAATTGTAAATGTGTTGCCAATGGCTCAGGCTTATTACTAACTAGCCCTTACCTTTTAAGTTGACCCATGTTCCTTATCTACGCTCTGCTGCATGGCTGTGCCTTTGTTTGCATGGCACGTTCATCTCCTGCTCCCCCTGCATCTGCCAGTGACTTCTCTGACTCCGCCCTTCCTCATCCCACCATTCTCCTAGTTTGGCTCTCCCACCTACCTGTAACCTGTTCAGCTATTGGCTGGTCAGCTTGTTTATTAAACCAATCATAGTGACATACGTTCATACAACGTAAAGGAATATTCCACAGCCCTCTTTCCTTCTGTGTCCCTTCCCCCGGGACCAACATGTATGTCCAGATAGAGGGGACAGAAAGCTATTGGTTGGCCTTGGAGATAATAGGACCTCATCTCTATGTAAGACAAATGCTTTGTCTCCTTCACCCTGGCCTATGACCAAGACAATTGGATGGCATATTCTCATCACCCCATTCAGACCTCCCTTTCTCGGGGTGGGGAGGGGAGGACAGATGCTCCTCTGGAGATGTCGTCAGCATCGCCTTGGAGATGCACACATGACATGGCAGCAGTGGCAGTTGCTATGGGTAGAGGTGGAAACCTAGAAAAAGAGGTGAGGAAGAGTACGGGCTGTAGTTGCCTAGCATGTATGAGGGCCTAGGTTCATTCCCCAGTACTGCAAAAGGCGGGGCGTTGAAAAGTGAGAGAGAAATGAGTGACATCAGCTCCCGGGTTCCAGCGCACTGTTTCCCTCAGTGGGAGCATAGAGGACCTTTTGGCAGCAGTGTGGTAGAGTCTCTTTGGGATGATGTCCCCTCCTCATTGGGGATCTGACTGGGGTTGTGTACGTAGGAAACGGATGTGGCAGGGCTGGAGAGATGGCTCAGTGGTTAAGAGCACTAGCAGCTCTTCCAGAGGGGCCCAGGTTCAATTCCCAGCAACCGCATGATGGCCCACAACCATCTATAATGACATCTGGTGCTCTCTTTCTGGTGTACATGCAAAACATGCAAATACATAATAAATGGATAAAATTAAAAAGAAGACGATGGACGTGGTTGTGATGTTGAGTATGCAGATCCCATGTGCACACGTGTGTGCTGTGCTTCCCTTGACACGCAAGTTACACTGGGGACTCAGATTGTATTTTTAAGACTGGGGAGGGGGCAGGTAGTCAGGAGGATTTTTATATAGAAAGAGGTATTTCTTTCAAAGAAATGGCTCCTGCTGTCTGGCTGAGGAAGCCAGATCCAACCAGGCTTCCATGTCAGCGACGCACCAGACAGACCCTCCTTCGTTTCCCACAGGGCAAGGGAGAACAGACTACCTTCTGGTTGAAAGGCAAAGAAGGCTTCACTGTCCCACTCCCCGAGCTTACCGAGGAGGAAGAAGGCTGACGTTCCGGAGACCTTGTGAGGCGGGTATGCTCTTTCGAGATGTTTGTGGAGTCCCGCTAATGTCTGTGGGGATCCTTTTGGGGCAATGCAGCCAGTATCCATCGCTCTGAAGAGGTGTAGTTCTGGGGCACTGGACTGATCTCCCACTAGGGGACACTGTCTTACTGGTGTCCCCTCCTGCTGCAACCTTTGCTCCCAGACTTCTCCTAGTGTGCCTTGGATGAGGTGTGGATGTAGAAATACGCATTTCCTGGGACGGCTGGCCAGGGAGACTCATGAACTTGCCTAGAAGAAACTAGGAGCCCCAAACAGAAAGCCCCCTCCCCTCCCCATGAGCTCAAGACAGAAACTGTCCCATGCGGGCAGGCTCAGAAGCCTGTGCCAGGTGGGTACAGGAACGCAGCCGCATTGCGAGCTAGATGGCCGGGTTTTCCACTCTGTGAGTGCCGTGGGTAATACCCTGCTCACAATTTATTGCCTATTTTCCCTACATACCAAATAACATCTCTTGAAGCCAGGACTTGAATTTTACCTGGGATTTTCCTTTCATTTATGCATGAAGAGCACAGTTTAATACATCTGACTGTGGAAGACGCGCCTGTCTGGTCCTGTGATGACTATTTCCTTTTTTGCACACAGGCACAATTAAGTTCTGTGTTGAATTGTCTGGGGACGATTTTAAGGGACCTATGGACCTACACTTCTTTCTCTGCGCCCTGCTCCTCCCCGGCCCACGTGGTTGGTAGGGAATGCAGAGACCATTGGGATCAGACGCTGCTTTTGAAACCTTTTTTTCCTGATGAAGTTCCCAAGAATGGAGAAGTGAGACAAATTAGATTTTCTTCGTTGCTGGTGTGCACTGTGAACAAATTTTTGAGTACTTTTTGATCTACTGGGCACTTTCATCTTTATCTCATAGTTTAATTGGAAAGAGACATTTTTTTAACATTTTTGTGTTTGGTATGACTTAGAATTTGCAGCAGATATTACAATGAGGGCCCTTCTCTTCCTCCCTCACAGAGAAGTCCTAAAGAAGAAAGGCTAACCAAACACTGTGTGGTTGTCCCAGTTAAACCTAGCAATTGGCAAGGGATACTGGAGTTTCACAGGCAGGGATGGACAGGTGATCTTACCCTCTCTAATGTTAGTCACACAAGATGGCTTTACCTTCCACAAGATGGCTTTATCTTCTTGCCTCTTGGTCTGTAAACTCCTGTCCTGGAGTGTTTGAGGTACAAATGATTGAAAGTGTGTGGAATATTTGGATTAATGAAGTCTAGAAGCACTTGGAAAAGTTGTAGAATTGGCTTCTATCATAATACACGAACATGTAAACTGCAATTGTATGTTATTTATTCCAGGCATTTTATTTAGTCCATAGCACTAGGTGGAGATACAAGGTGAGAAAAATACTGTTTTAGTCTGACAGCTAAAGACATAAACTTGGCTATATATATTTATGTTATATAAGAGTTTCTGACCAATGTAAGCCTGTTTTCTGTATTTCCCAATTACAATGAACTCTGAGATTCCAAACTGATTGGAGCACCAGCTCGATACCAAGTTTAAACTGCATGGAACCATCATACCCAGCCTATGACCAAACAAACCCAACTCGGTAACTGGTTTAATTCCTAAGTTCATTTATGCAAGTTGTTAAAAGATCATCAGACTGCAGACCTCAAAACTTCCAAAGGGCGTTAAATACAGAGGGACAAACTCACACGTGATTTCAAATGTTAAGTCTGTGTGACAAAGAAAAATAGAAAAATATGTAGAACTTGGGCATCTCCTGTCACACCACAGCTGGTGCTCTATCACGGTTGGTTCATTCAGTTTCTTGTTGACAAGTGTGAGTCACTGACATTGCCACATTCTAGGTCACAGGCTGGCCAGTTACGAGACTGTGGGGTCATGCAATGCCATTGCCGTATTTGCACTGTATTTCTGATGTTTTATTGGTTTGGTTCCCACAATTGGTAAGTGAACGAGTTGAAAGCAGACACAGGCTTGAACATTTCAGTGGGGGTGAAGTGCGTTAGACCATCCTAGACAGGAAGACCTCCTAGAGCAAACCACTGAGCGCTGCAAGCTGTATGGGGGGATGGGCTCTCAAATCTCAGAGAACAAGTCTTTCTACTATCATGCAGATGCATTTCATGTAGGCAATGCCACATTGTTATGTGAAATGAAGATGAATTTTGCTCCTACCACAGTCTATTTCCTACTTACTTCTGACTCCAGAAACATAATCAGTTATAAGGATGAGGTTGTTATAATACCTATCTAATGTTCATATCTATTTAAGAAAACCTATAATAAAAACAAGGTAGTACTAGAGGCTCTTAAGAACCTGCCTCTTGTCTGTTACAAAAGTTTGAGCAAATGTATTTAACTTGGATTTCCACATTGTCACTTGAAGATTTGAACTTTCTGGATAAGGGCTCAATTCTGGTCCTTAGAGCTCTGTTGTCTCAGCGACGGAGTGCCTGCTGGGTAAAATTGGCTATCCTCATGGGATTCTATATTTGGCATTGTCTTTTGAGGTTATAGCCAGTCTTTGCCTCCAAATCCTAAGTGCATGTGTTGGAGTGTGTGTGTGTTTGTGTTTTATAATGAAAGTAGCTTTCAAATGCTGTCCTGATTTGAATAGAGAAGATTACTTCCTTCATGGAGGGGGATTGGCAGGATCAAATGACCATGGGAAGGAATAAGAGGAAGTGTGTCTCCAGTGAGCAAGTGGATCACCAAATTCATACACACACACACACACACACACACACAATCACAGGGAACACATGCTTGGCAAAGAGCTGTTCTCAGCTCCCCAGCAATGGAGTCTTCTGTGTGTTCTTTTTGGCAGTACAATAAACGAGTATGCCGTAGTTCAGGATGGCCCTGGAGAGAGTTGCTGCCGCCGCCCAGCTGTCCCCTACAACACAGCGCAGATCCCTAGCATCAGGATGAGGTGGTAAAGGACATCTGTGAAGCAGAGGGGGTAGAGAGAGCTCTGAGAAACAGCCCCACGAGGCCAAGGGTCAAGGAGAGCTCAGCCAGAGTTAATGCAACAGGGCTGTTATAAAGCTTCCAAATTTTATACGCAGTCATTCCTATTCATCCCCTGGGGCTCGCACGGCCCACTTCTACCCATACAGAGGCCCCAACATGTAAGCCTGCCTGTGGACCTTTGGCAAACAGACATTTTCAACTTGGACCTCACACATACACCTTTCACTGTAGGATATTCTCTGGGGTACTTTCCTTTAAAACGAGAAGTGGGCATTTGAAAGCGACTCTCTTGTAATGGACACAGTGATGTCTGTCTGTGAGTCTGCACCAGCCCCACCTCGTCCTCGTCATCTTCCAGGGAGACCCTGGTTGCCGCTGGAATGGCTCTTTCTCTAAGGAGCTTGCTATGTCACTTCCCCCAGTCCTCTCCTCGAGACGGTATTGTTTAATGCTGAGCTATAATTAATTCATAGCACACCGTGTGCGCTAGGGACAGTCATAGCCCGGTTCCCAGACGGAAGCTGTGGGGGGGGGCGGGGGGCTGAGGCTCGTTCTTATCCAAGTCACTCCGTTAATGGACAGCAGAGTCCCAGTAGGGCCTCAAACATTTGCTAACGAGCAGAGTGATCTGATCAAAAAAAGTGTGTTCTCCAAATGCAGGGAGTTTAGGAAAAGCCGCCCGGCGATGGCTTTGTTCAGAGGGTGCTGTGGGCTTGGATGTCCCTCATCCATTGGAAACAGCTCCTCTCTTGGGTCACAGGCTGCTTGGAGAGAAACCTCTTTACCTCTGCCCCCTTACAGCCGTACTGTAAGATGTGTATTTTCAGCGGCAGATTTTTCTGGGGCCAGAGTAAGCACCTCTAACAGCACACACGCTTCACAAAAGCGCTGCCCCGTGACACTTGACAGCCCCTTTTCTCCTTACCTGAGAAGTCACAGAGACGGGAAAGTCCCCTGCCTGGAGTGAGCAAAGAGAGAGAACGCAGGTTGAAGAAAGCTGTGAAAGAAGTATCGGGGCTATTTCTGAGCCACAAACCCCACCACGTCCGGACCCCCATCAAATCACGAGCCATTCCCTTTCAGAGGAAGCCCGTGCTGAGGTTTACGTGGGCTTCCTGTCATAGCATCACCTCCTTGGCTCTGTAAGGCCAGGGCTGCTAAGGGCTCTGCAAAGCAAAAACTACTAAATACTGTTGACTTTGCAGGGGGCCGTGAAGTAAATTTTTTCTTCATACTTTTTTTGGGGGGGCAGTCTTACTGTGTATCCCAGATGGACCACAAATTCACTATCCTCCTGCTTCAGCCTGAGAACGGGTGTGCACTTATTGTCCTTGTAGTGTGAGTACTACACTGTAGACAATGTCATCTGTGTTCTAATAAAACTTTATTGACACCGAGGTTTGAATTTTATTGAATTTTTTTATACCCCATGGTTTTCCTTTCTTTCTAAATCTTGGAACCACAGGAAAGTGTCCAAAATCTGTTTTAGTTTGTAGGCCCCACAAAATTAAGAGGGAGCCTGGAGACTTGTCCCTGGTCTGTGGTTTGGCAATTATTCTTTGAGGTGCAGCTCCAAAGTCTGGCTCACCCTCCACTCACGGCATCCTTCAGGACACAATGACATTTTTCAGCAGTCTATAAGGCCTGCACAGGGTCAGTTCCTATGGCCATACACTCCTGCATGACCCTACCCATGTCCCATCCCTCAACATTCCCTGTCCCTCAGCCTGTATCATCTCTCCTGGCTAGAAGGTAACATCCTGAGACAGGTTTCCTATGAGTCTTGTTCATTTCTGGAACTTAGTGTCCAGGCCAGGCTTGGGCAGTGAAGGCTTCCTGACATTCCCAGGACACCCTCATTTCCATTCCTATTGGTCACTGTTTGGAAGCTCAGCTCAGTACTTCCTAATTCCCTGTGAGCATTTGGATTTGGAACCCAATAAGACATTCAGGGTAGTCAACAAACCTCCTCTCCTTGGGCCCTCAGACCCCTCCACTCCGAGGAGCAGGTGAGTGTTGTGTCCACAGGCACGCCTGGTTTGACAATTCAATCAAAATGCTCAAACCTGCCGTGCCTGTAGACACAGCCCGGAGTGCACGCAACTATTGGGCAACCAGCTTACTCCGCAAGGACAGCTCCACAACCAGGACACCCCCCGTCTGGTCACGTAGCATACGCTTCCGTTTGTCGCAGTTCTGAAGAAATGAACAGTGGAAACAAGAAACAAAACCAAACCAAAATGAAGCTTCATGGAGTCCAAGTGCCCAGTCTCTACGTACATAAAGCGCATGCGCGCGCGCAAACACGCCTGCCTAGAGTTTATTGGCTTTCCAATGGAGTAGTTCATCATCATTCCAGCGGAGGATGGGCACCACGCCTTTAGATAGGGAGCAAGGGTTTTACTTTTACTCTTAACTCAGTGGTAGGAGAAGAGGACAGTCGCAAAACATGTTCTGCTGCATTTTCGTCCGTGAAAACTGCAGCTTCGATGCCCCCACCCTTTGATCGGCTCTAACTGGCTTCCTCCACCCCCAGCCCTGAACCCTCTGGTGCTTTTTCTTTTCCTCTCTGTGTTCATAAGTATCTGCTTTTTGGCCCCATGAGTGGATGCAAGTTGAGATCCAACCTCCTTTCTACTGGGCACCTCCAGGCCATGCGGGCTGCAGCCTCTTTAGAAGCTGGGGCCTCTGAGGCCTCCAGTCTGCATGCAGGACGGAAGAGAGTTTGGAGCTCAGCACTTTTAAGTTCCCAAGGAGGAGCTCTGAAGCTCTTGCAAGCCCCAGAACCACAGGGCACTGGCCCCGCCCCTCCCCACGCCGTCCACCCCGACCTAGATTTTCAACATTTCTCTGAAGACAGTCCAACCCAGACTACAATCGCCCTCCTTTAGAGCTCTGTCTAGATCTTGGATCCCTTGACACTTTCAACGTTTTCAAAGCATTTTCATGCCTATGACTACGTTCGTTTTTGTCTTCCGTTGTTCTCTGAAAAGGGAACAGCCATCAGAGCTGATGGATGATGACCTCTTTTGAAAGATGATGAAACCAGGCCCATTGGGTAAGTGGCACATACCCAGTTGGTAAGTTTTGGTAACAAGGTAAACAGGCCCAGACCTTCCACTGCCTCTGCACCCAGGACCTACGTCTCCCAGGTCAATTCAGCTCCTTTAATCCCAGTCCCTTAGGGTTAACTTCCAGTCCCTTCCAGAGCCGGGACCCTTACCACCGGGCAGGAAAGCTTCTCACTGTCACAGATGAAAGTCTCACAGTGCAACCAAACCTTGGAGAGTTTGGGGATGCTCTGGAACCGGAAGGCATTGAATTGGAAGGTTGCTCTGTGATCCTTGCCGTTCTCATGCACGAAGACTGTCTCATCCGTGGGGCAGCTGGCGCACAACGCAGGGCGGGGGGGGGGGGGGGGGGGAGAGAATGAAGAGCCACACCAGAGAATTCCAAAAAAAGCTCTAAGGCAAACTCTCACACAGCGGTCTGGCAGGCTTGTGTACAGCTGTTTGTCCTTCCAGAGGACTCTGATCCCTGAGTGCATGATCAGACTGAAGGGCCATAGGGTTAGATGTGATCGTCTCCATCCTAAAATAGGGGGTGACTTATGGGAACCCACACCTCTGGTAGGGTGAACCCCTATCCAATAGATGAAGCCTCTGGCAGACGCCAGGGTAACACAAGCTGAGGCCACCATGGTGGATGGGAGCAGTGTGTCTCAGTAGACACGTAAGCTCAAGCCATACCCACTGCATATCTCTACTTTCACTGTCAGGTTTTGTCTGAGATCAGAAAAAGGAATTTATTTTCAATTAATTATACAAATATCATATAACAACCTTTGTAAAAAAACATACTCATATTTCCCATATATCATCTAGATAATGGGAAGAAATATAGAAAGGTATGTTTGCTGAGACAGAAGCAGGAACTAAAGAATGTCACCTCAGAATTGTCTCTGACAAGCCCTGAGCGAGAAAACAAAGGTTGTACCTTCCTATCTGGGTGAAGGGTCAGAGCTATTTCTATTTGTTGTGGCCTTGGCAGTGACGGGGCTGTGAGAGTTTTCCAACTATATGAAATGAGGATCTAACGGGATTGGTTGGCCGATAAACCTGAGATCCTTGTCTGAGCTCAAGACGGGGAGCCTTAAAATAGCTCTTTGCAGCCAGAGTGCCCTGGGCCTGTATCAGCCAGTGGAAAGTAATGTAAGAGGAGCCTTGCGGTGGGGGAAGGGAAAGCAGGTAATGGGCAAGCCTAGATGTCTTGGCACCGCCGTGTCCTGGCACAAGCTGTGGCACCTGCCTCTCGGTGACATCTCACTCTGGTTGATTGGATGGTGACAGCTTGCTGGGAGGTCTCCATCTCATCTGCCCCACATGGAGTCATTGTTTGAGGGGAGTGAGCTGTTGCAGTTGTGCTAATGTGTACAGGAAATATTATATATATATATACACACACATATATGTGTGTACAGTAATGCACAGTTATATATATATATATGTATATATTAATATCACTAAGGACTCTTGAAAACCAAAGGATCTGGTATGAACAAGGAGTTTCCTCCCAAGCTATTCCAAGCCACAGCAGAAGAAATGGGGGTGGTGGAGTGGGGGGGTGGAGGGGTGGGGTGTGGACTCACTGCTCTGCATTGACCCCAGAGGGTAGCACCTACCCCTTGTTGATCAGCTGCCACTGCAAGGGGTACATAAAGTCAGCGGAGGGGGGTGGCCCAACAGCTGTTCAGGACCACTTTAAACCTGGAAGTAAAACGAGAAGGTGTCACCGAGAACCCACCTCACTTACACAGGCGTCTGGCGACTAGAGTCTGTTGGCTGGTCCTTTTCCTTTGCGCTCAGAAACACGCACGGCGTAGAGGGACTCACCGGGTGCTTAGCCCTTTGCCTTCGACTCCTGCGAAGAGGTCTGAGCCGATCTCCGACGTCTCCAGAATGAAAGGGGCTTCTCTCTTGGTGGAAAACTTGGCATTCTTGGGAAGGAAATGGGATACTGGGCATTGTGAGCTCTCAGAATAAACTGTCAGGTTGGTGGGAGCAGGCACTTTGGGGATGGACAGAGATAGAACCAACTAACCCAAGGAACAAGCTCCTGAGACCTCTGAGGACACGGATGTCATCTTATAAAGAGTAAGGACTCTTGCTGGTCATGGTTTGACTCACACAGTCTCAGTGACGCCAACAAAACTGACCAATAGGAAATAACGGAACCCCAGGATGTCAAGACATGGTCCTACAAATCACTCAAGGCCAAGAACGACCAAATGCAGAGAGCCCCTCACTCTCCCTGGTCCCCTACACTCTGTCTGAGCAAATGCTTGCCTGAGTTTTGAAGTTCATGACTTGATTGCCAGAGCTACTACCAACAGACATAAGTCATTGATTGCCCGCAATGTATTTATGTATCGCTCTACATATTTGGATAGTTTCCAGGTCAAGATACTCTGTATCGAGATAGGATACTTGTGAATGAAGCAAGATCTGTCTCCAAATGACCTGATTTTCAATCAGGAGAAAAAGGCAATAGGAAAGAAGTAGATTACACAGTATATTAGATTAGCATATAGTATGTAATATTGGAAGCCCCCAAAATAGCAAAATGGACTGGGAACTGGGGGAAGGACAAACTCTCTGTGTGTGTGTGTGTGTGTCTGTCTGTCTGTCTGTCTGTGTGTCTCTGTGTGCGTGTTTTCATAGGCATGTTTGTGCGGGCGTGGGCACATGACTGTGTGAAGATGTGCATGCATGGGAATGCACATGTATGTTGAGAAAGAGGTCAGCCTCTGGTTTCATTCCTCAGGCACTGTCTGCCTTGAGTTTAAGACAGGGTCTCTCGCTGGCCCAGAACTCAGCAAGTGGGCTAGGCTGGCTGGTCAGTAAACACCAGGGATCAGCTGTCTCTGTCTCCTAGTACTGGGATTATGAATGTTATTATGCTCAGCTTTGTTTTTTTTAGACGTGGGCTCTGAAGACGGACCTCAGATCCTCACACACACAGCAACCGCTTTAGCACTGTAGCCGTCTCCCGGGGGCCCATGTTACATGTTTGAAGAGGGCAGCCAGGGGGCCTCCTTGAGGAGGTAGCATTTGAACAAGGCTTGAGCAAACCCAGCAGGGGGGCTGTGTAGCCACATCAGAAAGAATGTCTGCCCTGAGGCTAGGGTGTGGCTGACCTGGCAGCAAGGAGGCCAGGTCTGGAGGAGGGTTAGAGCCTGCAGAAACAAGCAGGGGATGGGATTTTGGGGCTACTGAAGGAACGCATGCAGGCCTCGAACCCTGAGTATGCCAAAGGGTCAGGCAGGCTCAGGAGTATCAGGGTCTGGTCCCTGGCCCGGCTGACCCTAACTCTGTCATCTTCAGATAATGTTCACTGAGTTGTCAAGAATTACAGCTGTGATTGCCCTTCCTTAAAGGTGGCTGTTCCTCTCCTGCCCAGTTCACTTGAATGACAACCTGGAACTACTCTCTGGCATTAGCCATGAGAGATAGGGGCATTGGCTGGAAGGGCTAAGATCCCAGGATAATCCTGCCCCCCCCCCACTTACTAACTTTAGACCCAGTAGAAGGGAATTTAGTCTTTGGAATTCCATCTCTTCACTCCTGTCAGATGGGAATAGCCTTAGTGACATTGTAGAACAGAGTCATAAAGCTTAGATGAGGGTATTTCAAAAATCTGAATTTATGATCTTAGAGATTTGCAACTTGGTTGGCGGCAGCAGACAGAACTGACTTGGCCTCCTACAGGTCCAGCACACAAGACTTTGTGAGAGGACCTCAAATCCGTCTCAGGATGATTTACACTATTCTACAGAAGCAGGTCCAGCTGAAGTGCCTACAGTAAACCACCTGATGCTGACTTCTCCTGTCCGTTTGTCAGGCCTCTGTTCCACACTAGCTGTTGCTACAACTAAGCAACACCAACCCCAGTCATAAGTGATTTACATGCATAGCATGCAGTAGTAGTTTTTCTCTGTACTTTTGGTATTGCCTAAAATTTATGAGATTTCAGGGGACATTGCCAAACATGGAAACTAACTTGGGAATGGCGATTTAGTCCTCAAGTCTCCAGAGACCCTTGTGTGAAATCTTTCTCCTGGACATCAGCCGGCAGAGTGTGGTGTCTATACTGACAGAACAGTCATCTAATTCTCCATCGAAGCAAAGAACAGAAGCTGCAGTCTTCATTTCCGACAACTACAACAATGCTTAACACGACTTTCCCCCTTCCTTCTCCCCGTCCCTCTCTCTACTTCTCCCTTCCTTCCTTTCTGGGTTTTTTCTATACAGCTCCATCTAGCCAGAAACTCACTATGCAGATCAGACTTGTCTCAAGCTCCCAGCAACCCTGCTTCTACCTCTTGTGCTGGGATTACAAGTATGAGCCACCATGCCTGGCCCCTCCCCCTGCTTTCCTTTTAACATGAAAACAAGAGACTTGTCTTCAGATAGTTTTACCTTGGTATGCTATTATAGGTCAGGGAAGTTCATCCTGACATCCCTAAAAGTAGAATTATCAACAAAGACTGCTTTTCCACTCTATGGGGTGGATAAGTCCGTTGAGAAACTATGTTCCAGCATGCCTTCCCTTAACCAAAAGGTTGACTCACAACTAGCGAGTCACCCAACTTAAGGATAGGTAACCCTCACTGAGCAGAAGTTCTTATGGGGATGTCTAGTTGGTTTTGCTCATAGGCAAGATAGCAATGAAAGAAAACTAACCCAAGTGAATAATACTTCGAGTCACGCTCCTAGGTTTTTCTAGAACTTAGTGGCCTGCTGCGCCTCTCTTTATTGGCTCACCAGAGGACAAGAATGGACATTTCAGTTCTGAGTCCCACTTTGTAGCAGGCACTGGGCAGCTGGCTTGTGCTGGGAGGAAAGTGACTAGGATGACAGACGAACCAGAGAGAAAGGGTTTAGCTTAGAGAGGTTGGGGCTCTTTGGAGAGCCATGACCAACTCAATCCCACGGAATTACTTCAGCAGTCAGAACCAATACAAACAGGGCTCAGGGGTCGGGTTTTACATGATAATCTAGGACACAAGGCCCAGCTCACCTGTGTCACCGGAGGAGGTTGAGTGGCCCGCCCTGGACAACGGAACCTTTTGTGGACTTGAGGTGGGAAATCAAGGATGGTCTCTGAGGTTTGTTCTCATTCTGGAAGGATCTTTAATCTTTATTTGCCTATGTCCGCCATCATAAACCTTTTAGTTTCTTTTTGTATCACCACTGAGAAGACTGGTCAGTACTCTTTCTATGCTAAGAAGCTAACCCAGTCTCACACCAACACTGACATTGATCTTTATAAAGGCAACAATTCTAAGATGACTAGAGCACTCGTGTGAAACGGGGCTAGAGTCTACACTCACCAGCAGCTGTCTTCTTGGTTACTTACAAAGTTCACGAACCATGCTGAGTATTCAAAATTGACTTCACCGAGTCTCCTGAATATCTAAGGGACACATGCCATTAAGTTCTTCTTTCACAGCTGCAGAGATGGAGGTGCAGGGAGGCTCCCTAACTTTCCCAAAGTCGTTTAACTGGTAAATAGTAAAGCAAGGCTTTGAGGCATGGCCCATTTTTTTTTTAACCCACAGTCCCAGTCTGTATCTGTAGGGCCAACAACCTTTCTTGGTCTTCAAATGGGAGTTATAACTTAACCCCCTGGGAATATCAACTATGGGTGCCTTGGACAAAGTGAGTGGGAAGGGATGGAGAGAAAGGAGAGAGGACACTGCAGAGTAGGAGGAGTGTATTTGGGGGACCCTGGCTCTGGACTTCCCAGAATCCTAAGCAATTAGCAGTGTGTTGGTTCTATTGTGCTATGTAGGGCATGGTTCTGTTTTTGGTAATTTGATGGAAATATATGCAAGGGGGCAGTTGTTGCTTTAGAAACACCCAAGAATGCCCTCAAAGTGGGAAAAAAACATCCATGGGTTAGGCGTAGGAAGCGGAGCCCACAGCAGAATATAAACCAGGACAAGTGTCTGGACAGCGGAAGCAGCTCTGAGCTGAACTCCGTTTGTCCCAGGGGGGACTTTGACAGTGGAGTTTTGGGGACACCCTGGCTTCATTTCTAGGTGATTCAGGAAGCAATTTGTCCATCTGCTTCTGCAGCTCCGAAGATGGCTTTGCTGGTGAAGACTGACTGATTGCCTGAAGCAATATGTTGCTTCTATTTCTGAGGTTATGCCTGTGTCTTAAACTCAACCCTGTGCGGTTGATGGTGAGAGACGAGTTTCAAAAAACCCTAATCTCTATCTCTAACTGTTGTAGACACTCGTAGGATCAAATCTTCAACCTTATCTCATCAGAATAACAACTACTAGCTTCTAGATAGGATTGTGGTCCCTCTGTGGGAAGCTGTTTTACCTTCTTGTTATCACCCCCTGCGGCCCATAGTGCATTGGTCCCTGAACACAGGTCAATTGGCTGTGGGTATCTCTTGTCTTTGGTTCGGCCACTAGTGATATGAAGCCAGGGCTAGTCTGGAATTTTAAGGAAACTTGAAGCGATATGCATCTTAGAGCTCCTTCTTTAACAATAATTTTTAAAAACAGTAAGAAGTTTGAATCCCACATTGGACATGGGCTTTGTGGGTGAAGGGCCGTGACACTGTACCCCACGCCCTTTGCAGGGAGCACCTCAGTTGGGGGATCTCTGTTCTCACCAGAGACATCTCTAGGCCTCTGTGTGGTCTTGGGCACACACTGTCCTTTTGGACTTCGTGTCCTTACCTGAAAGGTGGACTAGGTTGTTTTAGGATTCTCCCTGCACTCATAGATGAACTCGGGGGTTAATGGCTTCTGGGCAACAGGTGAAGCAAGTTCGATGTTCGTGAGGTTTCAGATGGGATGGTGTTTTCTCTTGCAAAATGAAATGGGTCAGATGTGCTGCCCTGTCAGGACACTTCCAGTGCCCCCACACAAAGGTCTGTGTTTCCTGCCTGCATCTTCCTCTGGCCAGCGGGGCCAGAGTTTCCTCTGTGTGCCTGCGTCCCCACTGGGAGCAGCAGCTCAAGAACAAAAGTACCTCTTCTATCAGGAGAGCGGCTGGGCTAACGGCCAGCGCACATTTAGTTCCTCCACAGCACTTACTTTTGAGAGAGACTGAAGTGTGCCTTTAACTCCCCCGTGTCAACACAGGTGGCAGATCCGGTTAGAACAGCGAGGACATCTTACTGAAGGGTTCACGGGGTGAAAGAACTAAGTAGCAGAGGTTAGCCCTAAGCCTTGTCTCTAGCTCTTGACTAATGTTTTTGAGACCCTAATGGCGAATAAATCTCTGGGGAGGAATGTTGGAGAAATTAGTTTTGATTGAGAGTCAGACATGGGGTAACCTCGCCTTAATTTTTGCCATTGGCAAAACGGGGAGGTCGGTCACATCTTAGTTGTCTATGGCCCTGTGGAGTGAACCTTCTGTTGCGCCTTGACTTTCAAGCCAAGCTAAGGCAGTGTGCCACCACCGTTGGGGTCCCGGGATGGGGCTCTGCCCAGAGGCCTGCAGGGAGTGACTCCCGTGGGAGGAAGAGACCCCAGGAAGGACAACAAGGACTTACAGTGTAGAAGTTGAGGGACAACTGGCTTTCAAAGGTGCCCATGCTGCCATTCTTGACATGAACAGTGGCCACTCTGAAAAGGGGAGAGAATTTTGCATAAGGACTGAAACACGCCTGCTTGACAGGGACCAGAGCCTCCTCACGGTGGCCGGGCCCTCCACCCTCAGAGCGACTTACCTCTGGTCGAAAGCAGCCTGATTCACCAGGTAGGTGGAGTGGTAGGTGCAGGAGAAGGAGTAGTTGACGGGCTGGTTCTTCACGACCACTGTGCTGTCGTTGGACACGATGTGGCTGTAGAAGTGGTAGATGGGAGGCTTGTACTGGAGGAAGGAAGGGGGCAGTTAGGGTGGCCACTGTCCCCCTGGCGGGACGGAGGCTTCTGGGAGAAGTGGCTGGGGACGGCTTAGCGGAAAAGCCTAGGGAAAAGCCGCGCCTGCTGGTGCACGCCTGTCAGCCCGGCACGTGGGAGGTAGAGTTTGGACGATGAGGACTTCCGGGCAAGCTTCAGCCACGTAGGGAGTCGGAAGCTGAGACCCTGCTGGAAAATAAAAGAAAACAAACAACCCCATCAAGGGGACAGAGGTGTTTATCAGGGACAGTAGAACCCATTTTTTTGTTTTGTTTTGTTTTTGTGGTGAAAATATTTGCAGAATTCTGGAACCCCTTCAACGGGGTAGATAGTATATGTGCTGGAAACGTCCTCCTGGGCCTCCGACTAAGGGGTTGGATCCAGTCTCCATTTCCAGCCTCAAGCTTGTATTCCCTCCACTTGTCCAGGGTCCCATGGATGTCTTTGTCCATCCTCCACTCAAGGCCATAAGCAGCAGTTAAAGCAGCTCTTAGCCATAAAGCTCCAATTACGAAATTCTTCCTTCCGGCAAGTCGGTCCCAAAACTCACCCACATCAGAAGTGGGGGCATCTGTTTTGGAGGAGATGGCCTGAGGGCACGGAGACGTCCTCCACTTGAGGCGCTCACAGAGAGGATGTTGTGTTCGCCTGGCTCTTCCCATCCACTCTGAATCCTTCCGTCCCTCCAGGAAGAGGAGTTGGCTGTGTGCTCTGAGGCACATGAGCACATACTCTTCAGGTAGTCAAGGCAGGGGCCGCGCTCCTAGCTCCTAGGACTTCTGTGCCTGAGAACTGATGACTACGGGGGAGGCCTCAGATTTCTCCTCTGTCGTCTGAGGACACCTGTCAAGAGGCTGTGGTTCCCTGTGATGCCAGGGTCCCCAGCCTTGGGGACTTCACACGACCCTGCTTAGGACCCTGTTAGCTCTTTCCCAAATGTACCGAACCCTCACTTCCAACTCTTGGGGGGGAGGGTTGGCTCATTGATTTGGGCACCCAGTGCAGGGATGAAAGCGCTGAATCTAAGTGAGAAATGTGCTTTGTTCCATTTGCAGAAGGGAGCTTTGCTGCTGTCCCCACAGGCCAACAAATTAGCAGACTGAAAGTCAAGTCCAGAGAGTCAGCTAGGACGGCTCAGGGTGGTAAAGCGCTTGTTGCACAGACGTAAGGACCTGCGTTCGGAGCTGGAACACAATTATAAACTACTGGGTGTTGCGGCGGGCGGGGAGAGGGGGTGAGCACATGCCTACAATGCCAACCCTGGGAGCTGGGGGTCAGGGTGGGGGGCTCAGGTGGCCAGTCAGCGTCGCTGAAGCAGCAAGCTCAGGGTTCAGTAAGAGACCCATCTCAAGAGATAAGGCGGGGCGCGACAGAAGAGGACACGGCGTTAATGTGGTATCGGCCTCTGGCGTCTGCACATCTCTGCGTGGCCGCGAACAGCAGCACGCACAGAGGGTCATCCAAACTAGGGAAAGAAGGTTTTAGTCACTACCCGCCCCCACCCCAGGCGATTTGAGCAACAGGACTGACTTGAAAGGAATCGGGAGCGTTGCGAAGCCTCTTAAGGATGGCAGGGAATGTCTCATGTGCCTCCTTGCTTTCGCTTAAGCACCCCTGCATAGGTGGGCGGGCCTTACCTCTGACTGGGTTCCGCAGTAGGACCTGTTCTTAGGGGACAGGTCTGGGATGACAAACTGGTAGTAGCCTCCTTCATGGACCCCGTTGTAACACATCCCCCCGAGCGCCAGCTGGTGCACTTCCCATCCATAGGGACACTCAGGGATTTTAGTGATGATGGTTTTGGGGTAGCAAAACACAAGGATGACATCTGGGAGGGCACACACGTGGTTTGAGTCAGACATGGCCGGCAAACGGCACACAGAGGCAGTTAAAAATCACGTTCTTGCTATTCACCAGCTGGGCTGGGTTTTCCCAAACTCCAGTCACTGAAATATAGCTTACTCCACAAATACAATAGCATCAGTATCTAGTATTTATTTAATTGGATCTATTTTTCAAAAGTATCACTTTGTATTAGAGCCAATGATTTCCCTCTCTCTCCCCTTCCTTCCTTTCTCTCTCTCCTTCCTCCTTTCATCTCTCTTTCTCTCTCTCTCTCCCTCTCTCTCTCTTTCTCTCTCTCTCTCCCTCTCTCTCTTAGTGCAGCCATATTGGGTCTTAAACACATAGTCTCATGCTATTGCCCCAGCCCTAAAACATTTACTTGCTTTTAAAGAGTACATCTGTGGAATCACAGACTGCTAAGTGTATTCCTGTGAAAATGATGAGGTTTCTTGTCATTTAAATTGTCCACTGGGCTATTTCATGCTCAATGCTGCAAAATATTGTTTAAAGACTCGAAGCATTTGCTGAGTAGTCAAACACGTAAAAAAAAAAAAAAAAAGTGGGCCCATCACATAGAAGAGGAAGGAAATATTCTCTAATTTGAAAAAAAAAAAGAAAGTTGGTTCCCTCAGCACATTTTCCCTTCCTGTGAGAGAATGTCTGATTGGCACTGGGGGCTTCTGTGCCTCAACCTGGTGACTCATCACCCTTTCCTAAACCAAGCCATCATGAAGCTCGGATGACAGCAAGGTAGAGACTAGGGGTTCCCTGTCTGGGTAAGCAGTGCAGTGCTGGGTACCTGCTTTATTTGGAATGCATGACTTCGCTGAGGTTTCTGCAAAGAGCGCCAGCAGGATGAAGGCCTTCACCACCATTGCTTCTCAGAAGCTGAATCCTGCCAGGTGGCCAAACCAAACTGGCCGAATGATCAGGTCCCCTCCAGGCTCCAGGTCTCGACCGTTCTGCATCGGAAATATGAACGGAAAGTTAAAGTCAAGGGTGAGAACAAATTACACAATCTCGTGGGGGAATGTCCAAGGGAGATGGGTACCGCTGTCCTGGCTCACGCCACTGGGGAGCTTAATACCACAGGCGGTTGCTCATGCTCCTGTCTTTCTCACTCTCTCTGGAGTGTGGATGCTCTCTCCCGGTTGCTCCCCAAACCTGCAGCCCCTGCCCCACTTCCCCCTTATATATCCAGAGGGTGTAAAAGAAACCAAGCCCAGATAAGTCACAATGGGCGCGCATTATCCACCGCAGGCAGAGTAAAAGGGAACTTGGTACAATATCTGACGGCAGCTCAGTTACCACCTGAATCTCATTTCTTCTCCTTTGCAGACTTGGAAATCCCACCCCACCCCCCTCACTGCTGCACCCAGGGTTGCAGAGGGAAGCTGGAATTTTCTTTCTTGTGCAAAAAATCAAAATAACAAACAAACAACCCTCTGATGGAGACGAGCGTTTTCTGTACTCTCCCAGGTAGTATTTATTCTCTTTTGTATTATTTTCTCATTCTATTTCTTACCGACTTATTTTTACATAGGAGAATGAGATTTTGAATCTAGAAGGATTCCAGTCCAGCATAATTACATCTGGAAGTCAAACAAAACATAGGTTGTATTAATGTAAAAAAAATCTTAAGGATGATTTTTCCCCCAGTGTTTCTTGATGCCTGTAACTTCATCCTGAAACACAACTTTAAATTGCAAAGCCTCAGGGGCTTCCAAGCTTTATTTGTCTCCCTGAACAATGACATTGGCAAAAAAAGTTTTGTAAGGACTCTCCTATGAATCAGTCTTCAATCACCCATCCAGAGCTTGCTCTAGTCAGCACTGGGCATGCTGCTCTGGAGGGTGTTCCAGACATACTCCAGGGAGTACATGTAATTTCATGTTTCCGTGACACTGGCTGGATGTACGTAACGGTATGATAATAGAGTTGTCTTATGATCGTGTCTTGGGATTAAGGAAAGAGCTCCATGGGAAGCCATTAAAAATTCCTGGGACTCGGCTTCCTTCTCTGCAATGGAGGCCACCACGCTGGTCATACCCTAGGGCAGGAGCAGAGCCGTGAGATGAAGGCTCTTGCCAAAGCAAGACACGCATGTTTGTGTGAGAGGCAAACTCCTAGTTTCTGACAATGTGCATGTGTGCATCCCTCGAGCTGTGCTGCTCTAAAGGCAGCGGTGCGTGGTCTCGTGGTAGACTTCAGGTTCGTGCGGCAGAGGCAAGCAATGTGTGTCTGAAGAGGGTCGCAGGAAGGGGTGCGGTAAACTGTATGGACGCTGGGATGGAGCCCAGTGCGGCTGCCGAGCAAAACAAAGCTGCCGAATCTCCCATGTGGGTTTTGGGTTTCTCCATGTTTCCCTCATCTCCTTCCTACTAAACGTCAGCGGTGTCCATATGGTAAGTTGCTAGCCTCTACACTTGGCCCGGAGGACACAGGTGGCTTAGAAGACCTGAGAGGTCGTTCCTTCCTTGCCTCTCTAGGAACTAGTGTGGAGGACAGGGTTAGGGCAAGGTGAGAGTGTGCTTGGACTGTAGGAAGGGGCTCTGGTTTGGATGAGTAATTATCTGTCGCCGACAGTTCAATAGCACCTTTCTGCTTGCAGAATCCATTGCAAGAGGATTCTGTTATCTTCAAATGCACGCTTCTTTACAGCCAGCTCTGACCCAGCCAGGTCAGCAGTAACCCCAATCTCATGGGGGGGGGCTTGGAAAGGCCACTTCCCTGTCTCTAGTGGAAAGATGGGATGAAGATTGAAAAGACGCTACATGGAGTGATGGGGTACCCGGAGCCCAAAGACCACTTTGACCATTTACTGGCTGTATGTTTGTTATTGGGCAGATGCTAGATTCTGTGAGCCTCTTCCTCTTTCGAAAGGGAATATTAATGTCTGCAACATAGGGTTATTCAGAACATTAAACGAATAACGCTAACATCTATGTTACAAGCACAGACATCTACTCACTGAAGACAAGGCACCCAGAAAGCCTTTTATGCCTTTGTTAAGTTCTATCTGGGAAACGGGAAGTCTGCTAGGAGCGGATCCCAGTGTGGGGAGGACATTAGTTTTACTGCTGCCAGATGCGTCGTACACCAACGTGAGTGTTGGCTCTGCAATTAAGCACCATGGCTCTGTCAGATTCCGATGGTGTGATCATGGGCGAGTAGCTTGACCTCCTTAAGACTTTGGTTTCAAATCTGTACGGTAGGCTTCTCACCACCATCGGCTGATCCGAGTACGTAAAGGAGCAGTCCTATACGCTGCCTAGGACAGCGCCTGGAGTGGACTGAGCAGCAAAGACTGTCTGTTGTAAGCAATGAGCAGCCAAGGTTGGTGTCGGCAGGCTGGGACGGCATGTCCCCGGCGTTCCCGGATGAACCCGAATGTTTCTATGGTAGCAGTCTTGTCTTTGGAGGCCCACCCTAACAAAAGAGCAGGCACTTTTGATTTGTAGAAAGGTCTCATCAGGATAACATTTGGGGACAGGGAAAGAGATCTCTCCTACGATTTCTCGGGGCAGAGATTCAGCTAACAATCAGGCACATGATACCGCTTTCAAGGAGGGGAGGGGGCGGGGTGGGGCGGTGATTCCACTTTTTGTGGGGAACTGGTCTCTCGATGTTTAATTTGCATAAGAGACAGAAGGGGACCAAATGCGCTTGGGCCAAACAGTATTTGATACTGGTCTTGATAAAAAGGCAGGAGGCATCTACTTTCTGTGGTAATTACCCTCCTCTCTTAGGTCCCATTCAGCCCCCTCTCTGCTTTTCAACATTCCTCCACCCCAGATGCCCTTGGAACGAGAGGGGCCCTCCTGCAGATGGAATCCTAAAGTAGACCCCTGACTCCAACCGTTGCAGATTCTCCAAACAGGAAAAAACAGGCTGGAAGGTGTGTCAGTCCTAGGATTTTGAAAGAGCCCATCTGAGAGAGTTTTATAGAAAATTTGCCCAAAAGATGAGTTTGTCTTTCCTGCATCTTTGTCTTCTGAATTCCAAGGCAGCAAAGGGCACCTTTTCTGTTTGAAGGTCCTGAGTGATTTGGGAGAGCCAGCTTAGGCACAAGAGGGACGCCCTTTGCAATGCCACCAGCATTTTGAAGTGAAGTCAGTTGTAAGGGTCCAGGGTACCCTGCTGAGGTGAGAGATGGGACTTTCAAACCAAGGCGAATAAGCGTGCTTTGGTGTTTAAACGTTGCTTTATTAGCTTTTTTTTTAGCACCCTGTTTCAAGTTCATTAAACATTAGGTTTGTTAAATGGACCCCACTGTTCCTTGTGAGCTCCGAATCAAACCTTCTTCTATTTTGTGGGAGGCTGTCCGCCAATTTGCCAATGAGTGGACATCCCAATCTAGGCTCCACTGACTCTAGCCTCCCAGAAATCTCTGGGAGTGAGCTCTTCACCAGAAAAAGTGCGCTTGGGCAGGGAAACTTGAGGATCCAGGGCTCCGTGAGAGCATCATCGAGTCAGATCCAGAAGCCCCTCCTCCCAATCCCACACCTGACCTTGAAGCTCTTCGGATGCAGAGAAGCCTATGGTGTCTGTGAACTGAAGCACCCAGGAAAAAAGCCACACCTGTCCAGCAGTCCCCAAGGCCAACTGGCTGATGAAAACTGATTATGCAGAACTGTAGTGTCACAGGGTGTGAGGCCAATCGTCTTGAGTGACTGGCCCCTTTTGTGTGTGACCTAACATCCTTTGACCGTTAAGTAAGCCTTTCAGAAGGTTCAGACCAACTGCTGGCTTCTACCAGCGTGAAGGCTAAGGAGTCAGCAGACGGGGCACCTGCGTCCTACATCCTAGACTTCCTCACTGCGTTAAAACCGCCCTGCCCGGTGTATCTACTGCTATACCTGAAAAGTGTCTTGATTTGTAGCGTTCTTTGCTCTGCTGCTATAAAATTACATGAGCTGTTACTTCACTGGGACATCGTATTTGGGGTGCAGGGCAGAAGAAAAAAACGTGAAGACTCTCCCACTCAACGGCCAAGGAGTCATAGCCATGTATCTCTTTCTTCTCCAAGGCCCACAAGCTCCAGACGGACTCTAGTCAAACAAGCACACAGAGCACACACTGCCATCCCCCCCTGCATCTGTGCTAGACATCACTAATCAAGATGTTCCTCCCCTGTCATCTCTAACATGACCCCAGGAACATCCCTGACACTGTGCTCCAACAGAAAGTAGCCATCTACTGGAAACAAGACAGGGATACGAACTCCGTCACTCGCTCCCCAAACAAACCAATGTGCTGCTTCTAGGGTTGAGCAGTTCACCCTAGAGCACCGTCTGCTTTCCCTCTATAGATCTGGTTAGGGCTGAGACAGCTGTTGCCTTTTTGCAGAGACCCTTCCTCCAGGTGGACAGCTCCATCAAGGCAAGGGGTGTGGCTGGGACGTGCTCAGCGCCAGAGCTTTAGCTCCAACACAGGTCATCATACGTAGCTGATGTAGTAGATAATTTGCAAAATGAGTGGCACAAAGGGTTTTGGAACAAGGCTAATTGCTAGTGTGTGTGTGTGTGTGTGTGTGTGTGTGTGTGTGTGTGTGATCATGCACGCGCATCCATGTATGTCAAAGCCAGAGGATAATTTGGGCATCATGTTTTTTTTTTTTTTTTTTAAGTCACGTTCGCTCCCTGGACTGGGACTCATTGAGGAGGTTCAGCTCACAGGGCTGTGAGCTGCTTAACTCTTCATTCTCATATGCAAGGCCCCGTCCCCTTTTTCACTTGGGTTGTGGAGAGCAAGCCCTGGTTTCCTGCTTGCAAGGCAAGCACTTCACCAGCCTAGCCATCATTCCAGTTTCCAAGTACTTTGTAAACTGCAATGCCACTGTCCTTATGTTGGCTTCCAGTGGAAGGGTATTTAG